GATGTTACCCAGCTTGTCTCATTACTGCATGGATCCACACTATTATTCAAGTCCTTCTTCCCCACTTGTATTGCTATTTCACGCAAAGCATCCACTGTAGAAATCAAAAGGCACAACTTCTAAATTCTGGGGTGCTCAAAAATCACAAGATAGATATAATCTTTACCAAATGAAACATTTTCAGGTACCTTCATCGGGAGCTAGAAGCCCAGCTTGTGCCTCCAGTTTTATAGCTTTCATGCAAAACATTAGTAACATAAGCATAAGTAAACTGAATGTCAGCCTCAAAATATCAGAAACAGCAGCAGCCATCTTCTTTCTCTGTAATGAACTTGGCTTTCTCCCCTTCAGCTCCTTAAACCTCGATAGGCTATCGAAAGAGGAATTTTCACTTTTCAGTATAATATAAGTGTCAGCTACGTTGTACAAAGATTATAATATATAAATATTAACAACGTGTTCGATCGTTAAGGTTTTGATAAGATAAGAATCGTTAGAAGTTATCTTGTCGGAAATTATCACAATGACTAAGGTAGTCAAAACATGATTCCAACTTTGTGGGCCGTAAAAGTACATTGTCCTTATCTCCCTTTCCGACAGTGGATTTTCTTTTTGAAGTATACATCATACAAGTCAAGGCACGTTTTGTGGAAATAATCAAATTGTGTACTTGGACAAAGATTAAATAATTTGGGAAATTAGCTTGGAGGAATAGAAGATATAACGAAATAATGTTACATTTTGATCTTTGATAAATTCATTCAATTAAACCCGAATATCCTTCTAAGAAAATTTGCACGTGGAAATTTTTTTCCCCGCTCACACGTATATTTATTATCTATTTTTATAATTTAACAATCAAAATATTGATTGCAACATGAATTTAAAATAAACAAAATAAAATTATGTTCTAAAAATTGTTACGAAAAAATAATGAATTTAGTCTTAAATTAATACGAATGCTTCACTAATTGTAATATATACATATTTTTAGCAACTAGATTATTGATTGCAACATGAACTTAAAATAAACAAAACAAAATTATGTTCGAAAACTCGTTACGAAAAAATGATGAATTTAGTCTTAAATTGATACGAATGCTTTACTAATTATAATATATACATATTTTTAGCAACCAGAATATTGATTGCAACATGAACTTAAAATAAACAAAACAAAATTATGTTCGAAAACTCGTTACGAAAAAATGATGAATTTAGTCTTAAATTGATACGAATGCTTTACTAATTGTAATATATACATATTTTTAGCAACCAAAATATTGATTGCAACATGAACTTAAAATAAACAAAACAAAATTATGTTATGAAAACTGTTACGAAAAAATGATGAATTTAATCTTAAATTGATACGAATGCTTTACTAATTGTAATATATACATATTTTTAGCAACCCGAATATTGATTGCAACATGAACTTAAAATAAACAAAACAAAATTATGTTCTAAAAACTCGTTACGAAAAAATAATAAATTTAGTCTTAAATTAATACGAATGCTTCACTAATTGTAATATATACATATGTTTTTTTCTGCTATAGATTTTGCAGTGATTTCTTTGTACATCTCTCCAGTGGCAGGATTTTGCGTGCTTTTTACTCGATTCTTTAGCTCATCCAAGATGATAATTAATGAATTTATCAAAGTTTCAACATGTGGTAGAAAAAGGCTTTCAACACCAAATTTCAAATCCTCCCATCCTTCATTGTGGACCGCCTGTTGGGCTTCCTCCTGCCACAGCCAGACCATCCAGTGGGCCTTTTCCTAATAATTCCATTTCTAAGTCTAGAGTTCATTTTATGCTGGACTTCACGGGCTACACCATCACAGCCAAACCCACGGTCTAGCCCGCAACCAAACTGCCTGGGAACTCTACAGTACAGCCCAAGGAATCCCAACCAGGCTCTCCTCCTGTACAGGCCCATGTTGCTCCTCAAGCCCACTTTGCCTGCGTCTCTGGTTTCCTCTCCAGGCTCTCACATTGTGCGAGCCCAGGCCGCTAGCCAAGCCCAGCCCACCTTTTCTGTTGCCCCGTCTGTTGACACATTACATTACCGCATGCATCTGGGCCCTTTCTCCAGTTCTTTATCCAGCCGAACAGTCTTGTGGGTATCATCATATGGTCACTCGGTCTACAATAGGAAATTTGAAGCTAAAATCTTCTATTGCTTCTTCTGACCCTATTTTGGATCATCAACCTTACTCACAAGCACTGAAGGATCTTCACTGGCTAAAGGCAATGGTAGAGGAGTTAATACTCTGATAGGTAATGATACTTGGGACTTGGTATCAGCTACTCCTTCGTTAATTTTCATCGCTAATATATAGTAAGCTTTCGTCGTTGAATATCGTTGATAGGCTTTTAAATATTCTATCATATTAGCCAACAATTAAAAGTAAAATTATAACACATAAAATATTATGAAATATAAAAAGAAACTATTCCTCGTCAAAATCATTTGTTGCTTCATCTTCGGATGTTTGATATTGGAAGGAAAATCAGACTTATGGGTAGAATGAGGAGGAGGGTTAGAAGGAGGGACGCGACGTCTCATTTTCTGTTTTTTTTCCTGTAATATCTGCTACATCCTCTTCATTTGCTGTTAGATATGCTAACTTTCCGTCTTGTATTTATTCTTCACCTCTTAGATTTACCAAGTATAATCACATTGTATGCCCTCCAGCTTTTGTCGACACTGCTCATGATTCTGTTGCATACGACTAAGAAAATGTGATATGGCAAACGATGAACTTACGGCAGAATACGAGTAATACTGAAATGCCTGTAATCTAAAACCATACACTCGAGGGTTTTTTTTTTTTTTTCCCCTCTGCAACCTCGAGATAAATATGTGATATATTAACCTTACATATGTCGAACCATCCTCTGAACGCACACAACTAGCCTATTTAGTGCATGGATAATGCTCTTTTCCTGTCGAAATATTTTTCCCAAAATACGTGGAGGTCATACAACCTAGAGCTAGCAAAACTTCTATATATATATATATATATGAGTCGCCAATATTGATCATAGCCCCTTAAGGCCCCCCATCGTCAACAAATGCATAATAAACGCACCAACCGGGATGGTCGTTAAAAAATTGCTACACAAAAGAACAACAAAAAGGCTGTCTGTGTCTAGAAGTCTTAATAATACCAATTTCAAATGAGATAAGAAAAAGGGCATCGTCACTTTTCGACGAGAAATCGTTGTCAAAGTTCCAATATAATTATAAAGATACACGAAGTGCAGAAATTTTCATTTTTCTAAAAGTTTAAAGGATAGTTCGTAAAGCTATGGGCGTCTCTTTCTCTTCTTGTTCAAAGATAGCAGCCTAACATGTGACGGGAAAAAAAACATGGTTGTTGCCACTCCAAAATGTCAAACGGTAACTAAAGAAATACGGAAAATTTGACTGAAATAGATGAGAGATTTACTTTTTAAAATTCTAAAACCATTGATTTTTTTTTTCAACACAAAATCTATCAACATTTTCCAATTTCCATTACTGAGTTTTTTTAAAAAGAATTTTAATTTTACTTTTTAATCACTTAATGTCTTCTTTCTCTTCTTGTTCAAAGGTAGCAGATCTCTTGTAGATATATATAATATATTTATGTGGTATATATTTAATTATATGTGGTATATTAATTTCAATATGATTCCTTACAACTTAATGAGTTTTTTTAAAATATATATATTTTTTAATTTATACTTGCACACTCTAATCCATTGAGTATGAGTCATGATGTATAAAAATAAATTAAGATCATTAGTTTTATTAGAAATTAACTATAAGTCTACACACATAACACCAATCGATTTATCATTAATTTTTTCTTAAAATAAAACTAACTTCTTTCAAATAAAATAATATTTTAAAAGAACAATCTAATAATTCAAATATAATTTTTTATATTAATATTATTGATTATTTTGTAAATAAATATATATTTACAAATCAAATATACATATTATAAAAAAGTTATTCTTCTCATAAACATTAAAGAACAATAAAAAGGATTCTTTTGTTAAATTTTATATAATTTTTTATATTAATTATTATTTTATTTCTTCGATGAAATCTTATAAAAAAGATTATTAAGATGCCTTTTTTAAAAAATATATATATTAAATTTTCTATTTAGATTATCACAAATTTTTATTTAAGAATAAATACATAAAGAATAATAGAATGAGTTTTTTTAATAACAAAACTTATGAAAAACACAAAGAAGAATAAATTAAATATAAAATTTTGATTAAAAATTATGAAAATAAATGAAATTTTATATTTTATTTTTATTTTTATATATTTTAATTAATCGATATTATAATACAAACTAATAAATTAAAATAAATTTATTTTATTCAGACCTGCAAAGCTGCACGAGAAGCTCGACTAGTTTCTTCTAAAATCAAACCAATATCCATTTTGATTTTTTAACAAAAGACAAATTTTACGGTTTTTATGAAAGTTGAGATTCACTAGTAAAAGTTATCAATCAAAAGGGGGAAAAAAAGTGAGCAAAATCCATTTCAAACCTTGCTAATACTGAGCTAGTCTTAATCCCAAACTAATTAGGATTGTCTATATAGATTCTTTTGCATCATTTGTCAAAAACATACACTAAATCCGCCTGAGTATCAAGGCATTTCAGCAAATGATCTTGTATAAGTAGTTGAGTGGATTACAACCACACAAGGTTACCACTACAGGCCACCAAAACCTGAACTAGACAGAAAAACATAAAGCTTCTTTCGAAACTAGCACTTTTCTATTCACTCGTGATGACAAAAACAAGACTATTCACATTTTACTTTTAAGTAGTCTTCTTCCGCCTTGTCTCCAGCTATTGCTATTACTTTCTCTACGCTATATATATCTCCCACATTTTGACATACATTTGTCCGTTCAGTCTTTTCTACACAACTTTCTACCTTTCTTTTTCAAATCTGTTCTAATAGATTAGACATGGCATGCAAGATTAAAACATGGTGTGCCATACTTGTCCTACTCAAGTTGGTGTCACAATTGCGAAACTCTGCTTCTGCAACTCCACAGGTGCCATGTTTTTTCATCTTCGGAGACTCATTGGTCGACAATGGCAACAACAACAACCTTGCAACCGCTGCTAAAGCCAATTACCGCCCGTTTGGGATTGACTTCTCCAACGAAACCACCACCGGAAGGTTCACTAATGGCCGGACCACGGTGGACATAATTGGTCTGCCTTTCCTTCATCTTCTTCCACATTATCACTTGCATATGCTTAGTTTAGATGCTAATAATTAGATATTAATTACTACATTTTGGCATATACAGGTGAACTTTTGGGGTTGGACAAATTGATTCCATCATTTGCAAATGCCAGAGGCAGGGACGTACTAATTGGTGTGAATTATGCATCTGGGGCTGCAGGCATTCGTGATGAGACTGGAAGGCAACTGGTACCAAATTATTCTGACTCCATTTATGCTTCTTTCTTCTTCTTCTTCTTCTTCTTCTTCTTCTTCTTGTGTCCTGCTTGCACTATACTGCAAATGGAGAAATAATTCAATGCACGATAAATATTGCAAGGACTGGAAAATAATTCAGCTTCCTCATTCCAGGGTGGTAGGATCAGCCTAAACAGGCAACTGCAAAATCACAAGGTGACATTCTCGAGTTTGGTCAAATTACTTGGAACTTCAGACTCAGCAGCAAATTACCTTAACAAGTGCTTATATTACGTTGGCATGGGCAGTAATGACTACTTAAACAACTACTTTGTGCCTCATAATTACCCAACAAGTCGCTTGTGTACGCCTGATCGATTTGCCAAAGTCTTAATCGTTCAATATTATCAGCAACTGAAGGTAAGTTGTACTTAATCTCAGTTTATATTTTCTTTTCCGACAACAATGATATCCTCGAATCAGTTTATGTTTCTGAAACGATCTTAAAGACATATCCTCTATATATTGATTTGAAGCATTAAAAAAAAAATTAATTTGTTTAGAGGTTGTACCATCTTGGAGCAAGGAAAATTGCCTTGCCGGGACTTGGATCGATCGACAGCATTCCTTATGCCTTCTCGAATCTATGCCGCCACGAGGTTGCCACTTGTGTAGCTAATATAAACAGTGCAGCCCAGCTTTTCGATGCCAGACTTGTGTTGCTTGTTGAACGACTGAACAGAGATTTAAAGGATGCACATTTTATATATTTGAACAGTTCTGGGATGTCTTCTAGGGATCCTTCTGTGCTAGGTACATACTCCACAATTAGTGCAATAACTATTTTCCATGATACAAGTAGTTTGTCTTTGGTACTGTTTTTTTTTTTTTTTTTCTTCTTCGAACAATCAATTTCGCCCTTAGCATAATTGAATAGTCTCAATATCATCCTTGCATCTTGTGTTTGTTAAAAATAATTAGTAGACTCGCCAAATAACTCACAGTCTGTGTCTTTCTCAAGTTATGAAATGGAGGAAAAAGCCAGAAATTTTATAATACTCAATATGTAATTACTATATATGTATAATAGTGATTCCATAAGTTCATTTTTCAAGAGAGATATAGATACAAAAGGAGAGCAAAAATAAATAAAAAAATTGTAGGATAGACAAAATTAAAAAAAATAATTAAGCTAGCGTAAAAATTTTTTTATTACTTTTGATAGATGTATATGTGATTATATATATATATATATATATATATATATATATATATATATATATATATATATATTTAAAAATGAGTTCATGGAATAACTACTATACATACAAGTATTTACTCCTTTAGTATATATATATATATCTTCTCAAAACCGAGTTCATGAAATAACTATCGTACATACGATATTTACCAAGGCCGGCTTTATAATATATGTGACCCTAGGTAATATAATATTTTTCTTGATAATTTTCAACTATATTTTTATTTAAATCTTTATCTTGTTCTTCTAGTATTTAGGATTTAATATTAGTAACAAATATATCAAGTGCATCTTTTTGAGATTGAATTAGTTCTTTTACCTTTCTTTTTTCTTACATTTTTCATATCTAGATTCATACTTTCTAATAGACATGTTATTCAAATAATAAAATTAAAATATAATTATAAAAAGAGTAAGAAACTTTGACACTCGATTATATTTGCTTGTCACACCTAATCAAGTAAACCTGGAGAGAATCACCCGAGAAAATAAAAAGAAATTTGAGAAAAAAATAAAATATTATATGATTTATATATATAATTTTATTTGCATAAATTAAAAAATTACCTTCGATTCTTTTGCCAAGCTAATTAGAAAAGGTTTTATAAGAGATCCGTGATTGTTTTGAGAAAGAAAGGAATATAATAACAAAATTTGAAGATCTAAAAATTGTTTCACTCACAAATATTTTTTAAAACTTTTTTGTAAGTAAAAATATCTATTAAAATAAAAATTGAAAGCTTTTATAGCTAGAAGATAACTGAAAAGATATATAGAAAAGGTAGAATTTTTAACGTTGAAATAATAATATCTCTAAACAATGAGAGTCTTTCAATGCAGGAACTCTAGTACCTATGACTCGTTAATAGAGAGAAGAATGATGTCTCATACTTAGGTAGAGAATGCATCTTCTAATTTATCTCATTCTCCACGAGTATAGGTTTAGGATAAAATTTTCATTAGGGCTCCCTTTTTATGAGGGCCCTAGGCATAAGCCTTAATGGCCTATGCCTTGAGCCAGCATCGATATTTACTCTTTTAATATTATAAAATTTCTCGAAAAAACCCATTTAAAATCTCCAAATTTATCTTGATACACCATGCACTTCATTTAGCAACTAAATATTTGGGTGAATTTGAAATTTGAGAGTTATTTTCTTCTATTATCCTGCATTATGAAACATGTGCATTCCATGCAAGTTATTTGACGATTTGGTTAACTCTTTTTAATAATGATGGAATAGAAGTGTGCCAATGGAAATTGTAGGTAGTATCTATAGCAAAATTGATTGAAGAAATTTACAAGGGATGAGATATTTTTGTAGTTAACATTATTTATTTTACAACACCATAAACCAGGGAATACATTATTTGAACAATAATAAATGCATCCAATAAATTTTTTGGTGGATTAGATAGCCCCAATAGCAACGACCATCTCAATTGTGGGTCCCAGATATTATATTGATGTGACCCACCGTCACGTGCTGAGAAGCATCCGTCCGTGAAAAAAACTCAGATCCATGATTTTAGCATGATTTATTGTTTGTGGGCATGCGGATATGTATAATAATTATGGGGATAATTTTATCAACTAAATATTTTTAGTAATAATAAATTAGCCCTTCCAGTTATTTCATGGAATGCACATGTTTAATGTTGTAGAGATGGAAATTATTTCTGAATTTTCTGTTTTTTAATTGAAACTTTTTTTTAAGATGCAATGTTTCATTTAATCTTAAATCTTTCATAAAATGAATTAATTTAAAATGGTCTACATTATTGCGTTTTAAATTTTTACGTCAATACAACTCAACGATCATGACTTGAGATTTCTATCTGGATATCTCATTTTCGAATCCTGAAAAAGGGCGATTGAGATTGATTAAAGATGGAAAAGGATTATTCTATTATGTAATCGTACATCGACCGTTCTGACGAATAACATGAAGTCTTTGATGCGCATCGAAATGATTCAAAAATAAATAAAGATTGCAAGAGTAAACCATCTATGCTCACAAACCAGAAAATGCAATCTATGCTCATATATAATCTAACAAATAAATCAATCCGTCCTCATGGATATAATTAAAGATGTCAAGCAAACTCAAAAGAAAAGAAAATTTTGATATGTTGGAACAAGAGAAACAAACTCACGAAAGAACCAGCAAAAGTACTATAGCAAGTTGGCAACCACCTCATCACAGCCTTTCCCCTGAAACTCCAATGATCCTGTCTGATGACTGGTGTGTGGTGTTAATCTCAGAGTCATCTACAGCTAAAATCACACTTCTGACATTACTGTCAAGACCTCACTTAGTCTCTTCAGGTTTTTTCTCCTCTACTGTTGCAGTAGTTTTGGTCTCTACTGCTGCTGGTGTGACTTCACTTATTACTTTCTCTGTATCTACCTTTACAGGAGCATTGACAGTTTCCGAAACTGGCACTGGTTCAGCTGGAATTTCAGATTTTACAGTTTCTGGTTCAGCTACCGCTACAGTTTCTTCAGTTACTACTTTATCTTGTTTTACCAGCTCCTCAGGACTTTCCACAGATTGCTCCTTCACTGTCGATGGTTCTTCCTTCGGTACTGCTGGTTCAGCAGGTTTTTCAGCTTCTGGTGTTTCTAATTTCTCTGGTTCTGCTGGTGCTTTGCCACTTCTCACTGTCGATGGTTCTTCTTTCAGCACTGCTGGCTCAGCAGGTTTTTCAGCTTCTAATGTTTCTGATTTCTCTGCTTCTGCTGGTACTGCTTTGTCACTTTCTTTCTGCTCCTTTCCTTCTTCTTTCTGCATAACCAATTTAACCATAAGAAATCTCAGAAGATTTCGAATCCAATTGACATTAAGAAACATAAGCTAAAAGGCTGAAAGCTATGTTCCAAAATTCAACTGTTATCACCAACAATCTGACACAATTAATCGAATTGGTTGGAAACAAATTGATCAGATACTCCAAGCCCCAACAACCAGTACAGCTAGATGGTCTTTTATGGATGTTTAGGATATATATCAACTAAACCATCCATTATGGCGCCGTAGTCTATGGCTGGCACCCACCATTGACTAAAGACATACAGATCGAACCTATGTTGCTCAACAGTTGCTGTCAATTACTGTCTACATTTAACCTTCCAACCAAGATCAAGATCCTCTAGGGTTTCAATTCACAGTCTGGTAATGCCAGAACCCACAGTCGAATACTAATGCATTCGCAAGGTTACTGTAAAAATCCAAGTGGGCATGCAACAGTTGAACTTTTGAAACCACACAAAACACTGAGGAAAAACCAAACAACAAGTGGGTCCTAAGAAATAAGAGTTTGTTTGCAAGACATCAAATGAATATGCGAAACAACAAGGTTGAAGATACCTTATACCAGACTTTCCAATCCAAAGAATCTAAAGCTTTTAACTTTATTGCTTTATCATATCCCAACAAACAAAATAAGCATGTTACAATGAGCTGCAAACTTAAGTTTTACATAGTCATAGAGAAAGTTGCCTAAAAAAAAAAAAAAAAAAAGAAAAACTATATAGGTCAAACATTTTCTCAATTTTAGTATATTAGAAAACCAGTCTTTAAACTTCTAATTTTGGGTTTGACCTCTTCTAATTTTTTTTTTAAGATTTAGTTGGCCTTTAGTTTTTTATTAAAAAAATAATTATTACATAAATAGTTTCATGATAGAAATCATTTGGTAAGATTTATATGAAGCTTCTAAAAATATTTAGGATAATTCCAGATTATTTCCTATTTCTTTCAATTTTCTATTTTTTTAATATTTAGAAAATAAAAAAATATATTTTTCTATCTTCAAAATTTCTGGATTTTTTTCCGACGTTTGTGCAAAACAACATCAATTTAAAGAAGAGAGTGATAATTGAAAATCATAGGATGAATTAAATCTCAAATAAATATAAAATTTAGTGTGGGTCAAATCCAAAATTAGAAGTTTAAAAATTGATTTTCAAACAAACTAAATTAAATTTGAAGGATGTTTGACATGTTTAACCAAAAAATAAATATTAAGGTAAATTATCCATACCGACACAACAATGGATCTAGACAAGCAAGCATAATTAAAGACGTGGGGGGGGGGGGGTGCAGATTAAATAATTTTTACAAAATTAAAATATACAATTGTACTTTATCATGAAAATAAAATGTCCCTTGGCCTTATAATTTGAAAACCATACGGTTGGTTACAAGTGCTCAAGACAATCATCTCATCTAATATTAAAAATCGATCTCATAATTAATATTTGTGGATTGAAAATTAATTCATTTGCAATTGAAAATAACAAATTGACCATTTTAAGGAAAATAATAGTATTATAAACTAAGGATATTGACCTTTAGATATATTTATTCTGCCAAAAAATTATATTTCCAATTAATTAGAACAAAAATACTAGAGAAATTTCAATTTAATTTCTTATTCTTGGCCTGCTCCGATTCTTGACCAAAAGCAAAGAAACTAATTACAATTCTTCACTGAGGGAAAAAAATAAACGGAAGGGGACAAATTTGACCATTCGAAGTTGGAAGGCAAATAAAAAAAAAAAAAAAAAAAAAATCGATCAATCGATCAATCGATTAAACCATGTAAAACCCAGATTAGATAATACTAAATTAAATAATTAATTATATCTGATCAAGACTCTTTACAAAAAATTAAAATAAAATTTTAAAATTAACACAAACTCATAAGCTTTTTTTAAGCACGTTTTAAACATATAGTAAAATCAAAATCTTTCCTTTTTTTAAGCCCAAAAAAATAAAAAATAAAATAAAAAAATATTACCTCTTTGAACAAATTACTTAAAGATCGTCTCTTATTGCTATCATCAACAATCTCAACCTCCACAGTATTATTATCAGCACCAACATCACCTATATCTTTCTCAACAACAACCTTCTTTTCCTCTTCCTCCACGGCAACAACCTTGACTACAACGTCGTCGCCGCCTGTTGCCACCACAGCTTCCTCCTTAACCAGCTCAGGAGTCTCCCCCTCCTTCAACACCTTTGGCTTGGTGGCACAGGCTCCCATATTAGTTAATTATCCCAAAAACTTTTGCAAGTAAATAGTTTTGGGATACGTTAAAGAAAGGTTTCAAGAATAATATAGAGTGGCAAAGAGGAGGAAAGAAAATACTGGAAACTTAAATATAAATAGAAGAAGAAGGATCAATCATAAACGTGGGGTGCTAATTTTTGGGTTACGACATTCACTCTGTTGTGGAGGGAAGTGAGATATATATATACATATACACATACATATAGAGAACAGAAAGAAAGACAGACAGAAAGACAAGAAAACCAGGGTTTGAAAGAGTTTTCGATGTTTTGTTTTTATGGAAGTTTGATGTTTGTGCAATATTTTATTTTTAATGTCTTTCTTAATTTGGAATTATGGTAGAACAGGTGTCACAGGCTGTCTGTGAGAGAGAGAGAGAGAGAGAGAGAGAGAGAGGGGGGTTTTGAAAAGGCTAAGAAAATGAAGGAAGAAGAAGACAGGGAGAGAAGGAAGGAAAATGGATGGTTTTTGTTTAAGCGGGGAATTTGAGAGGTTTTTTCTTGTATTTATTTTATTTATTTATTTTGGGTTTTGTGTGTGCAATTTTGTGTGTAGATTCGTGTGTATTTTGTCTTATTTTTTCTTATTAATTCTTTTAATACTAATTTACAGCAAGGAAATGGGGCAATTGAGTTGGCTATGGTAATGTGGGTCCTAATTCCAGGTTGGCCTAATGACATTGTGAAACCTACACTTAAATAAGGGTTTTTTTTTTTTTTTTTGGTTTTTGATAATTTAAATAAGATTTATTGATGATGTTTATTTAGAAACTTCATTATGAAAGTTTTAGGCTTAAGAATAAAAAATTATGTACATTGCTAGGAAGAAAGAAAAATCGAATAAAGAAAGAAGGGAAATTTAAAAAAAAAAAAGTAAATAAAGGGAGATAAATGGAAAGGAGAAAAAGAAAGAAAGTGGAGCCAAAAATATGATTGTGGATTTATTTGGAAGGTAATTGCAGTAAAAAATTGTTTTGTTGGAAGTGGAAGTTCATTGAACTTTATTTTTATCAGCAAGTACATGAACACATTGGAAATTCCAATTTCTATTTATTACATTAACCACATCTATAAAGGATGGATTTATAAATCAAGTGGAAGTTCATCTAAACTTTCACGTTCATAGATATTTAAAACACGATATCACATTCACTTGAGGTTAAAAACTAATATATATAGTCAATTTTCATATCAATACAAACTAAATCTATTGTTTTTTGATGTAAATCAACATAAAAAAATATTTATTTTTTGATCGACGACTACTGAAGTATTGTCTCTTACACTAAATTAATCTAAATCTAATATTATTAAATAATAATTATAATTAGTTGTTTGTAAATAATGATAATTAAATCTTAACATTGACCAAATCGATATACTTCACTTATTGCTATATCACATTTCATATTTGAAAATTATAAAACCAATTTCTACATAAAATATATATATTTTTTATTTTGCATCAGAAACCAACTTTTACAATGGACCTCAAATTCACGTAAGATGATTGGTTTTTATTTGGATAAAGCATATTAAGACCATTAAATTCAATTACACATCTAACCACACCTAGATAAATATTTATATTAGTGGCATGCATCTCTCTCCTTGTTTACTTGCCTTTTTATTTTTATTTTTTTCTTTTTTTAATGGAGTTATATTTTGAAGAAAACAAAAATCTATTGCTTGCTAATTATGATCCCTCTCTACATTTTTTTCATAATTTGGTGCTTCAAAGTTCAGCATCCTATTGAACTACCAGGACTAGCTAGCATATCTTCATTAACATTCTTATTCTGGTAGTAAGAGGATGCCGACATTCTTGCATCACGGAGGGACATGAGACGTGGGAGAATCTAGAGAGAGCCAGAATCTAGGCAAAGCTGTATAGTTTTTGGGCTGCCAAACATATATATATATATTGAGGAATAAAAAAGGTAAACAGTATTTCATGCATGGATATATGCAATAAGTAGGGAAGTTGTGGTGTCCATATAATTTGATCGTGTTGGCCATTATAGAAAACTACGAGAAGTATTTTGCAAGACTTGAGTTTATGTTATGTTAATGCTTTTTCTTTTTATGGGATAGCTTGCGTCTCTTGCACTACTACACAATAACTTACAATCATGGAACATTATATAATAATAAATTAAATTAACATTATTAAAATTTGAATTTGTTTTGTTAAAAAAATTATCAAATATACAACTGATAAATTATATCTACTAACATATGTTAATACTTTATCAATAAGTTGTTATCTCGGTAGTAAATGAGTTGGTTATTAAGCAAAATTCATACTAATATGTAGTATTTAAATTTTAGAGTCGTATTTGCTATAAAATGTTAAATTTTATCGTTTTTATATTAAATAAAATTAATTTTATTTTTAAGTTGGAATGAAGATATTTAAATAATATACATATATTAATGCTATCTTTAGAATATCCTTCCAAGGAATCACAACTTGCTCTTTGGGTCCATCACAGTTTATTAAACAAGAAAATCTGTAATGGGAGAAAGCTTCAAGGTGATGGGGGTGATGTTTCCGTTTCACCACATGACATGACCACACTTGAATTTGCTTGGATCATAACGCCAAACATGTCATTTATTTAAATTGGTTTAATTCCTACACTTCGACATTTAAAATGATTTAATTCTTACACTTGACGAAGCTGGGTTGTAATTTACTCTACCTTCGTTTGGTTTGAAGAGAGGGTCTCAAAAATAATTTCTAATTAATTTAGATTTAATCTTGACTTAAGAAAACTGTCTCCAAAAATATCATATCATTTGTACTACAGGCTAATAGGTCAAAATATTCTTTTACTTTAGATTAATTCCAACTTAACTCTTAATTTTTCATTTTTTTTATTTTGATTCCTCGAATTTCCGATCAAAGCAATCAATAGGTTGAAAATAGAACTGATAAAGTTACAACAACCTTAAAGTTTCGACATGATGATAATAATAATAATTCATGAGTTTTTTATTTTTTATTTTTTTTACTCATATATTAAAATAGCTCCAGCTAGATTTCAACCATTTCATTACTTTGTTGTATGCAAAGTAATAATGCACCCATTTCTCTTCAACAATGTAAAGGTGTAGGATAAGAAAAACAATTGTGGAGGTGTGAATTCGATCTTATCAAATCGTGGTAATATAATAAATTATATGCATCGCAGACAAAACCTTTGGTGTAAAGTACGAATCATGCGAGGTGGGTCATAAATTTAAATGCAATTTACAAAATTTACAAGCATAAACCAATGGTACTCTTTCAGCAAAAATGTTTTCACAAATTAATATTTAACCTTTTAGAAGAACATAACACGGATCATGGAAAATAAAGATAAGAAAAATCTATCTAACTCGTAAGACTAGAATTTTTATTTTATTTTTTAAAGAAATCATCATCATCATCATTATTATTTTTGTGTGTGGCACTAGACCTAAATTTGATTTTTAAAATCGATAAAAAATTATGTTGATTTTAAAAAAATAATAAACCTAATTTTCATTGACGCAAAATTAATCCAAAAAAATAATAAATTTATGTGTATATATAAAACGAATGTGGTATCACCTATTAATTTTTTAAAAGAAACTATTTTTTTACTTGAAGTTGTGATAATAAGGAAGTAAAATAAGTCATATAATAATTTGATAAAGATTGAGCAATGATGATTTTTCATATGGTTGGGCCAGCTTTATCATTTCCAGTGATGTTAACATCATCAAATTTATTTAGAGGAAAGGACTAAAGTGTTGGGCTAGATTTGCCTAATGAAAAGTTATGGGCTTCACCAAACCTTCAAGACTATTATTAGTTGGGCTTTCGTACTGAAATTAAATTTGGAACAATGATGGGCTTAGCCCACCTTACGAAGATTACAACTTGCAAGAACGGATGTGTTGCCCTTTTAGTTTGTTCAACTTTAGTGCCCGTTTAGGCTCCAAATCTTTATGCCAAACTTACTTTTAATCCTTGATAGATTTTTGGGTTCTAAACCCTTATGGCTATTATTTTCGTACAAAAAAAAAAAAAAAATAGAATGTGACATTTTTATGATTTTTAGGTATTTTTATAATTTTTCATTATTTTAATTTCTTAGAATTATTTTTCATTTTTAGTTAAAACGAAAAATTTGACATATAATACTTCAAAAATAGCAACTAAAAAGAGATTTTATATCTTAAACATGATGTTACTCTTTTTTTGTAATGATTATTATCCTTTAGGTTTAGGATTCTAAAATTTCATAATAAAACACAACAACCCAAAAATAACAATAAAAAAGAGATTTTTTTTTTAATTTTCAAATTTTGATTTTCGATTTTTGTTTAATTTTTTTCTCAATTTTAAGAATACCGAATCTCACAATATTATGACACAAGTCTATTTATAAAAAAAAATGTCGTTAAAGCATAGACATTAGAAAAGAAATGGAGGTATAGACCCTAAATAAAAAAACAAAAAACAAAAATTGAAATACATGATTGAAAAAAAAAAATAGTGTTACGAACCCTTTAACATAATAAATAAATAAATAAGTAAAATAGAGAATCTTAAGGTTAGAAAAAGTAGAAGCCCATCTGGGTGTATTATTACAAACGAACCAAGCCCAAAGCATCATCAGCAGGGAAACATAGGAGTTTAAGATCGCTTTTTAGTTCAACCAAACCATTACGCAAAGGGAGGACTTCGCCCCCTCGCTTGTCTCTTTCGTCACTAAACCACAAAGCCACAATCTTCATTTTGTGCCACAAGAACAAAACTTTCCTCTGCATAACAATAGCCCAATTACAAACAAGGTTTAGAGCAGTATTGAATTCTTGTTTACATTCAAAGAGTTGTTTGTTTTGGTTGAATTATGCAAATACCCAGATGGAGAAACGTGTTGATGCTCAAGAATTCATTGGTACCAGCTTCATCACAATCCATGACAACAAAGACTCATTTGGTTTCAATTCATACTACACCTATTACATGTCAGAAATGGAAGAGCAAACGGGGTGATGTGAGTTTAAATTACTTGTCCTTTTTTTTTTCCTGCTTTGCTTTTATGTGGAAAAATTTCAGACTTTTTTATGTGCTCTTGTGATTCAATTAAAGGGTAGTTGTGAAGGTGATGATTGATGAGCTCTATGGTGTCAGTTTTTGTGTCCTTTTTGAGATTCAAGACTGAAACTTTATGTTTAGTTTGATAGACGCCTATTTGCATTGGATTAGAACCCATCTTCATAGTATTGGGAACAAGTGTGTTGAATGTTGGAATTTGGAGCTTTGGGATTTCATTAGGTTATTATAATTTATGTGGTCTTGTTCTGTGTCCCATTCTGTGGACTGTTGCTCTTTTTATTTGGGTTCAAGGAGCTGAAATGGGAGGAAAGTCAGAGTCTGAGATTGAGGAGGAATAAAAAAGAGATGAAGCTACCTCAAGGTATGACATTCACCGGTAGTGAAGTGATTAATAGTGGGGAGAGTTACATGGGATTATGGTACTTGAAGCCATACTGGTTTTGTAAAAGAATTATTAAGTGCAATATAGTGGTGTCTTGTTAGTGTTAAGCCCTATTAGCCATGATTTATGGTTGTTGTTTCTTTTTTTCTTTTTCTTTTTTGATGCTTTGGCTAACTGTAGTTGGAAGCTGCTTTTTCCATGTGAGTCCCAGAAAAAACCAGAAAACATTTTTCAAATGTAGCAAACAGGGAAGTGTTTGCAGAGCTCGGAACAAGCAACTGCAACAACCATAAGCAAGCTTTAATTTGTTTAAGTGGTCTGTGAGGAAAGTTGCTTTGCTAAATCTAACGGGATACTAGATAATTCACCAATTGGATGAGGTTAGATTATTCTCTAAGATAATTATTACATGAGATGTTAGATTTGCTCTTATGTAATAGTTTCTGAACTACATGTTGTTGGGTGGGAAGAAAACATGAAGCTTGGCGATTCAATAAAATGAATATTATGACCTTGAGTTGAAATTTGGAAAGGAATTTTTTTTTCTTGAGTTGTATATGATTAAGTGGAAAATTTCTAACACTGCTAAATTGTACCCAAAAAATAAATCTTGAACTCTTTAGCAAGTCTAGACTTGAGCGAAATTACCAGAATTCCAATTGATTCTGGTGAGATTCTGACTACACTATGGCAAGATTCTATTCTCCAACCACAAATCTGTTGCCAGTGACTTTCTTTTGTTGCACAAATTTCAATAATGCAAGTCTTTCATCATTCATATTTTAGATAACTGTTTCGAGAGATATGTTGATTCCCCTAAAAGGTACAAAATGTGTGTTTCGTATTTATCCCCATGGAAGTTATGAGAGTTGTCCTTACCTCTGTATGCTGCTAGAAGTATATTTAGGTTTCTCTAGTTACAGAGCATCAGATGGCCAAACCAAATATTTTGGACAAGGAACCTTTTTAATTGGAATTTTCCTTTCCTAGTTTTGTGAATGTATTAGCCCACATGACGCAGAGAGATGACTAGTTTTTGCTGTACTATTCCTCTTTTTGTTTAATTTCTTTATTAGATGTAGATCATTGTTTTTGTTGATGACATTTATAGATCCTATTGTTTATTTTCTTACAGCTTACAGCTCTCTGGATACTAATGATTGCCTATGAGAAAGACTAACATTTTTCCTTGGCCAGGATGAAAGAGGATCTCAACAACAATCTAAGGTAAAACTTCTTTGCCACTTCTGGTCAACAACAAGCGTTACCTTTTATTTCCCAGCTAAGAAATTGAGATTTTAAAATTTTACTTCTTTCATAAATTTCAAAAAGCATAAAGCCTTTCCAGTGTCACCTATCTTAAAAAGATTCGCTTTTTACTTTTTATATTTAGTGAACTTTCTATGCACTTCTTTCCCCCATCAGTTTATTTTTTTATCCATTTAGGGCTCTTTTTGAAAAAAATAAAGTTTGTGACATTTGAATATAACTTCAGGATTACATAAGATATTCAACACGCCAAAAACGTGCTGATGCAAAGAAAGCATTGAAAAACCTTCTGTACAATAGCGGAGCATCTAGAAGTTCATTTGAGGTAAACTTTTTGGTTGCTTTGTCTGAATTTACTAGCTCCTTGGTGCAAACTACATTATTGCATCAATGTTTTATGCAGCATTTTAGTTGGAAAACTCTATAAACATGCATTCAATCAATCTCAATAACTCAGTTTCACCAGTGTAGCCTAGATTGCTCTATGAAGTCTTTGGTGTGACTGTATATTGCATCCATTTTTGGCTTTTCTAAAAGGATTTTACTTACAATTTGACAAGTGTATTGTTATGATCAATGCCTTGTTGCTATTGGCCTGCTTTTATAGTTTTACATCTAAGTCTAACTCAAATTCACTATAGTCAGTTAATAAAAAGGTGCAGCGTCATCATTTCAGTACATGTAGTTTGTTGGAATGACAAGTTGAGTCATAAATCTGATTCTCCATTTTTCTTGACCAGAAACAATAGCCATGAAATATTTCCTGTTCATTTATTGTTTGAAGCATATGCATTTTCTCAGAGACAGACATGTACCTCAACCGTTTTAATTCACTTTTTTTTTTTCTCTATTTTGCTGCTCAAAAGTTTCAATTTACTTATTTGGGAAGTGGTACACACTGATCTGTGTTTTTATCCAGCATATAGACCCGCTACGGTCATTTGATGCAAAGCCGTCAGCAGGCTCCAAAAAAAGAAATCAGAGGCTTCTGCTCGACGTTCTAAGAAATATCACCAAGACAGAATGAGAAGTGAGCCTTTTGATCCTTCTTTTACATTTTTCCTTTTGTTTATTATTTTTAGCCACAGTACGATGCGACTTCCATGCTTCTCACAGAAGAATGAGAGGGAAACTGGAGCAATGTTCTCCCAAATACTTCTCAAATGCTGTCATTGTTCCATTCCTTTTATGTTGCCATAAGGGAGTTGTAATGGGCTTCATATAAATTGGAGAATGGAGAAAAGACTTAGGAAAATGCCGGATAGCAAATCATCCCACGTTGTGAACTATCTGAAGTAAGCTTACAGGAGTTTTGTATTCTAATTTAATCTGACCAAAAAAGCGACAAATTTTCGTGACATCAGTTAAGGTTTGCATTTAAAATCCTTCCTAGGTTTTGATCTTCTGAGCATTCATGATTCATTTTATCACAGCTCTTGTGGATGACAATGGAATTCATTTGATTTCGCCGGAGCTTACCTGGTTGTATTCTGCATTTGTGAATATTATTGCTGTTTATTAGATCTAAAAGGATTTAATAGGAGATGGCTATGCTTCATGCACTACAAATGTAAACCAAAATAAAGAAACAGAACAATAGTGTATGCAAAAACAATGTACCATAATGATGCTGAACAAATAAAGAATTTATGATTCCATTTTGGATTGTCAAAGCAGGAAATATTTACTCTAGTTAGAATTTTCTTCCTCTGTGTGCTCAGCCCAGACTATTTACCATGATTACTGGACATTGAAAGGTTCCTGTTTATGTATAAATGGCGGAGTTCAACCTAGAAATTCATATTACGTTTCTCATTTAATCCTTCCAGTCCTTGAGGTGAGGCCAGGCAATTGTGAAGACCATAATTATAAGAGTTGAAGCCAAGCTATTGTAGATTTAATGTTTTAATTAGGTACAAAATGTGCATTTGACAAACTGGACTACTGACTTCATCAAATGTTCAGGTAAGCTAAGAAGAGAAAGTTTCTCAGAGGACTTTGGTGATCCCGAGCCAGTTTTTCAAGCTGCATTTGGAAGCAGATGGTATACGTGGTCTAATAATAAGTCTTTCCAAAGTAAACCATCTGGATTTGAGTGGAGAGGGTCTCCAAAGGGGAAGAACCAAAGATACAGAGGATGGGATGCTAGTAGTGAAACAGAGTTTGACAATGCATTGTATTCTGTAGGGTCACGTTCAGACAGAACAATCCTTGGTCTGCCTCCAACCGGTCCTTTAAAGATTGAAGATGTTAAGAACGCGTAAGTGCTTGACTTCTTTCCTTACCATAAAACTAGGCAATTTTTTATATTTATATTTGATTCAGCAAATTTTTTTAATTGTGCAGTTATTCATCATTTCTGTTATCTTAATTATGCTTGCAGTTTCCGCTTATCAGCTTTAAAATGGCATCCTGATAAGCATCAAGATGCTTTACAGGTCAGTTGATAATTTGTCCCTCCGCCTATTATGAAAATCGTGTTTAGTTTTTACCCACCATTAGACTTTGTCAAGTCTTGGTCAACCAGGGTCATTCTGCATCTATAAGCAGGATATCCTATCATATAAGGGTCATTATACTGGAAAGGTTCGAGATTCTCGAATTGAAACAGTATTTGGATTATTAAAAAAAAAACTCAATATTATTGGAAACAATTGAATGAGTTCAAATTTAGAAAGATAAAATAACCTAAAATACCTCCTGGCTCAGATTTTTTTTAAGTAACTGGAACCAAAGTTTTTCTCCTATAAAGTTATTGAATTAGCCAGCAATCAAACAAAAACGTGTTGTATCAACAACGTGGCAAAACAAGTTTGCAGAGAACCAGATCTTTGGAACATCTTGAAACATGTATCTGGCTCGACCATGACTGCTATTTGTTAACTTAAACTTTGATATAAATATATATTCTAGTTCTTTTTCCTTGACCATTTCTTTTCATGAATATTTGCAGGCAGTTGCAGAAGAGAAATTTAAACTTTGTGTTGATGCATATAAATCGTTATGCGATGCGCTTGCATGAGTTTAAGAACCAGACTGCAACTGAATCCTTACTGTTTCTAGTCACTACCTTTTTTTAACGGGAGCAGCAATGATAAGAAGAGGTGCACTCTATCATTTATTTATATTTTCTTCACAATAATATGGACGCTAAATCCTTCCCTTTTTTCCTGTCATTCTACTAACCAATTTATTAACCTGGTTTTCAAAAGTAAGGGTTCACAATTTGAGATTTCGATCACATTAGATGAAGGATGCTGGTGGGTTTTGGTTTTACTCCACTTTAATCCCTTTGTAAAGTGGTAGGGTTTGGATTGCTTGTATCAGATTGGACATGACACTGTTTTCTTATTATTTTCTCTTGCTAGTTCCTGCAGTTTAAGAATATTTATTGGAAGACAAGACAAAGTCTGTGCTTATAAGTTTAAAGTTAAATGGTTCAAACTTCAATAAATTTTAAGTAATTTGAGAATAAGTTTCCTTAATTTTTACTTTGCATTAATTCTTTTTTTCATTATTTTTTATTTGAAATCAAAACATTCTATTAGGTTTTCATCAACTCTAACAGAAAAAGTACGAGTGATTTCCATGTCATTAACTTTTTAACTTTCTCAATGGCGAAAAATATATCAAAATTTATGAATTTTTTGGTTTTCAATTTAAAATTTGTTTCTTTCTCTCTAAAATGTTATTTAATTACTTACTTCTTAGCATTTAAGAGAAAAAAAAAACAAGTTTTATAAGGAAAAACAAAACATTTATAAAGTTTAACATGTTTTTAATTATTGAGGAATTGTACTTACACATTAAAATAAATAAAACCTAACATAAAGATTTAATTTCAAATAAAAAAAAATTTAAACTTAAGGTCTAACTCAAAATTGAAAATCGAGAAACCAATTTAAAAAACTAATTAGTTCGATAATACTCTATACTATGCATTGACTATAAACTAGTATCTCGAGCTAAAAAAATTTTAATTTTTCAAATATTATAAATATTTTTTTTTATTTATATTCAAGTCTGTCGATTTCGTTCATCAAATTTCGGATATTTTTTTTTACATGCGATGTTGAGATGGCCAAATTTTATCTTTTTTATCGACCAACTCAACGCAATAAAATTATAAATTACCCCAACTCTTAGCCAACAACTAACCAAGCACCACCTTTTCTTCAGGGAGCTCTTTAACTCCAACCTCCTACATTGAAGTTTATCAATGCCTGCCCCATACCATATGACCAAGAGATCATTACTAGAATTTAAATTGTAGTATATTAAATAGCCCTCGGCATGACAAATGATTGTAAGGATTGATAGCTATGTTTCTACATAAAGTTTCAACGTTGGTCACATTGACAAACACAGGTAGAGCAGCACGAGAACATTGTGTCCACAGGTTAATGCATTGTGTAATAAATTATTGAAAACTATTTTATCTTAAGCATTTCTAGTCTAACATTTGAATGGCTGAAGAGGGCATAAAAAGAGTTTGTAATTGCCTCTTTTAAGTTGTTTCTTGACAGTGGTTTATGTAAAATCTAAGTGGGTTTCTTATGTTTTTCAAGTGTTTGATGAAATGTCACAAAGAGATTTGATTTCTGGCCCACTCAATTTCTGTATTGGTAGTTGCAAAAATCAATCAAAATGTACAACAATAGCTAAATAATTGTCAGATAATAGAATGCTCTCACTTACTGCTCTGTGCCTACTCAATTTCCGGCTACTGCCCTTAATTTCCAACGGGTAGTTTTCCTCCTCCATTCAAATTTCAAATTGAGAAACTACAAATATAAATGTTAATTAATACAACTGCAAGAATTTATAAATAAACAAATAAGTTTTGTATATTTTACTGTATGTTCTGTCTCCTCTGCAATACAAACTGACAATGTCACCAGTCTAGGAAAAAGTTGAAGACTTTCATCTTCTTTCACCACAAAAGGAGAGTAAAAAAAGGAAAAAAGTAACAAAAGTTTTCATGACCCATCATTAGTCATAAAGTCCGTGACCAACCTGTTAGCATCTTTGAATGAATAAATCAATTGCAAAGTTTACACAAGAATATCTACTGCTGTCTACTACCTCTCTTGTTTTCTGATTTTGCATAAAAAATAAGAAGAGAGATTCTTGAATCAATATAAATTATTAGACATTGCATTAAAATCTAAAACCCATCTAGAATTCCAAATGGGATTCCAGATTGACATTGAAAACAAGAATTTCATTTTCACAAATGAAAGCAAATTCTTCCTTGCATCAAATTCTTGAAAGTTGAGACTAATTTTTTGGACAACATCCTTAAACTGGAGCTAATACTACTAAACCAACAAACCTATTTTTCCAAACCCAAGAAAGGGAGCTAAAAACAAAGAAGAACAACTGAAGAAGCAACCATGAAGCCATAGATGAAGATCAAGAACCCAAAATGCAAAGCCCAGTTCCTCTTAAACTTACCAAAGTAACTCTCAGGTGGTTCTTGATAATGAATCTCAAATTCACCCTCGTCACTAATAACAACTTGATCATGACCATACTGATCAGCACTGCCACTAGCTACTCTCGTCTTCAACTCCCTTAACTTCTCAGTGGCTAAACCAAGAGTTAGCTTGTGACACCTTCTTTGGTACTTGAAACCATTGATGCATCTAAGGGTTTGAGCCACTGAGACATAGAAGATGAGGTGTGATAAAGAGATGAGAGTAATGGGCGCCCAACAGTGGCGGCATTGAAGGCGATTAGGTTGAGCTTCAGCCATGAAAATGAGAGAGAGAAAGATGAAGAAGAGAAGGAAAAGTTTGTGAAGTTCTTTCTTTTGGAGGTCTATTGCTCTTTTCTTCTCAAGGGTTTTCTCAAAGTGGAGTTGGATTATGGTGTTTATAGCTTGGAAAGCTGTTTCTTTTGGGATTTGTTGCTGGTGGTGGTGGTGGCTCTGGTGGTGGGCTTCATAGTCTGCCATTATTGAGTAAGAGAGAGAGAGAGAGAGAGAGAGAGAGAGAGAGAGTTTCTGCTGTATGCGGCAGGAGAAGGCTTCGAACAATACTTTCGGAGGGGCTGAAAGAGACAGTAGTTCTTGTAAGTATACTCATCAACGGTTATTATAATGGAAAGTTGGGAACTTTCAATTTTTTGTCTGTTAATTAAGAAATTTTATAATAATCATGTAACCACTAAAATCGAGATAAAAAAATAATAATAATTTAAGTTGGCTTAAATTTTTTTAAAAAAATTCTCTCTCTTCTATAATTTTTTTTTCTATTTTTTTTTTATCTATCTTCTTATAAAATGTCCCTATAGATTAACTAATGTGTATATATATATAATAGTTACGATAAATTTTATAATACTCAAATAAACATATAAAATAATTACTTTATGAATTCATTTTTTAGAAGAGAAATAGACATATAAAAAAAATTACATTTGGACCCATCAAAAGTTTTAATTTTTGTCTCTCTTATATTTTTTTTTAATTTTATCTTTTCTTTTTATGTATTTCTCTCTTTATGGAGTGAACACATGGAGTACGATTATACATATAAAGTAGTTAATTTTTTTTGTTTTTTCAAGTACTCTTCGCATGACTTAATCAGTATTGATGAGAAAATTAATATAAAAATATTTTTTTAAAAAAAGCTAGCCAAATGCTCGTGTGTAATCTTAAGTATTCGAACTTATCAACTACTATGTTATAGTTTGGTTCATTCCATTCAGTTTATTTGGTGTTCGGATTAGGTTTAATAGTTCGATTTTAATTTATGGTATTATTTCACATTGAACTAATAAAAAAAATCAATTTTTTTTAATTATTTGATTTTTTTTAAAAAAAAGTTGGAAATTTAAACAATTTTACTTGATAAAAAATGAAAATCAAAATATAAAAAAATCAATGAAATATTTTCATTTATATGATTCAAATTCTCATAATTTTTGCTTCTGTTAGGTTTGGGAAACCTACCCAAATAAATAAAACATTAAATCAAACAAACCGATTGTCTCTGCTTATTCAAACCTTGTGTTGTCTTAGAAAAGTGAAATAAAATTTTCATGAATCTCCTGCAACTAATTCATTTTTTTCTAATTAAGTTATTTTTAAGATCGATAAACTAAATTTTTTTTTGAAGTCATCGTTCATATATGTGCACTGTAACTGATTTATTTATTATTATTATTATTTGATTAGGGTATTTTTAAATTGGATCGAAACTGGAAAAAAAAAAAAAAAAAAACTGATATTTTTCATACATGACAAGAAATTTCTGATGATGCATGGATTTGGAGGAAATTGTAAATCTCTTTTAAGAAAATGTTTTAGTACTGCTGTCAAGGACTGCATTTGATCTTTAATCTAACATTTTCTCCAACTTTTAAAAAATTAGTAATTTACCAGGTTACAGCCCAACTTTCTGATATAAATTAAGTCTCTGATTGTTTGACGAAAAACAAATTCTAATAAGAAAAGCAATTATGGAGAAGTTATTTTCTAGCAAAATGTTTTCTTCTTTATAGCTCGAAAGTCACTTTTTCAAAAGTAATATACTAATTTTTGTTGATTAGAAATCATATTCTATTGATTTTTTTTTTCTAAACACGAAACAAATATCAAAAAAATAAAAAAATAATTTTCAAAAAATAATTTTTTTTCCCAAACAAACACAATAGTCGTTCCATGAGCCTAGCATCATAATTTTGCTGCCATTAATACTTTTGGTGATCTAATCCCAATAATACTGTTATTCAAATAATCACATGGGAGAGACAGGGTTGAAATTCTTTATAATATAGCATAGTACTTGCCTTATCTAAATTAAAATACTTTACCATTAAAATTTCACATGATTATTGTTGTCCTAAACGCCATTTGATGTTGCGTTTTTGGTGTTAATTAAAGTATTTTTTTCGATGGTTTTGATACGAGGATGTTAAAATTATCGAAAAAAACCATTGAAAAAAAAAACAAGAAGAACGAAAAACACTTTTAACCTCGTTACCAAGAAAGACAGAGACAAGTTTTTCTCCTGAGCTTTGACTTTGACATCATCGAGTTGATGATCTCTGACTTCTTTTACAAAATTTTAATACTTTACAGCACATTGTAAAAGAGCCAAATTAGTAACGATCATCTTTGATGGCCAGTTTTAAGAACTGGAAAACTACAGATCTCTTGGCTCCAATATGCAGCAATGGAACTTTCCAAGATCAAGAATGTTAAACCTGGGACACTGAAGTGTAAAGCAAATTTCCAGTCACACCAGATTAGTTTGTGCACGGGTGATAATGATAGCCACTTACAAAAAAAAAGTCAATAATTCCCTTTCAATGTAGAAGTAGTGATCAAGCCAGACTGCATTTTTGACCTGTAGTTTGATCCCCTTTACCTGCTCCACGAATCCTGGTCCCTTCCAAACAAAAATAATCAAAAAAGATTTGCACTTTCTTATCTCAAAAAGTGATGCTAGCTGCATTACTCATGTAACATGATTGATACAAAAATAAACAAACATTTACCAACTTTTGCACACATGTGTGAACTTTCAAAAGCTAAAAAGTAAAGTGTAAACTATATTAGGACAGATTAACCTACTTAATTCTAATCTCAACCGCTCTCTCTCGACGTGTTTATTCACCAAATGATGACCATATACATATGCGTAGATGCCGCTTTCCATGAGATGTCTTCCTTTTGGTTCCTGACGATAAGGGGTTTCGTCGAAACCCTGAATGTTGTTTCACTAAACCATGAAACGAACTCCATTATGACGATATAAGACACTAAGTTTTACTGTGGAAAAGAAAATCATTTCGTCTAATCACTCCATAATTTCCATTGAAGAAGGATCATTAGCTACAATTCGATAACCATCCCCACCTTCTTTGTCTCTGTAGTCTTCTTGATTCTGATCAACATTTTCGCTTTCTCTGTCTTCTGTTGTGGCAGATTCCGGCTGTTGTTGATCTCCTTGGCCACCCATGATATGCATTAAAAGTTCTTCAGGCTTTAACTCATAACCAGAGTTATCAACCCTCCTAGTCTTCTCTCTGTATAAAGCATCAAGCTGTTGAAAATAAGGACAAGTTTTTGCATCCTGGGGTCTTTTTTTATTGCTCTCCTTTACCCTCTTGAAGTACTTGTTCATATTCTCCCATTTCTCTTTGCACCTCTTTGAACTCCTATCATAACCGAGCTTTTTCATCGATGCTGATATCTCCTCCCACAGCGGCCCTTTTGGTCCATTTTCTTGATACTGGAATTCAAGATTAGCTCTTAGCCTGATCAAAGCTTCGATTTCTTCTTTAGGCCATCTTGATGGGTTCATATTAGCAAAACTCTCAATACTGCTATTTTCACGAATCTTCACTACGTTCGCCACTGGAACTGCTTGGTTCTTGGGCAATTGCACAGGAACTGACAATTGCATGGGAACTGTTTGATTGTCAGGAAATTTCATTGGAACGGTAGGATTGTCAGGCAATTGCACCGAGATATTTTGCTCAGAGAACTTCTGTAAGAAATCAAGCACAGCTGCATCTTTTGCAGCCGCAATTGCTCTTTCTTGAACTAAAAGCTCCCTTTCTCTCTTAATCCTATCCAATTCTTGCATCTTCCACGCTTCTTCTCTTGCTATCCTTTCCTGCTCACATTTCTCTATTACTTCTAGAAACTTATTTTGCAAATTCTCTTGCTTCTCAATCACCTCCTTCATCAACCTCTCGAAAAAATCAGTTAATTTCTGCTTCTTCTTTCTCGTTCCTTCCGATTCTTCACTTGAAGTGGATGCAGTTGAAGTAGAGGTGGCATCGGTGAAATTCATACCTGGGCTTTGAATAGAGCATGGAACAGTATTTGGAATGAAACTTACTGGGTTTACCGAGGCTGCAGCCATAGAACTATGAACTTCATCTGATGATGGAGGTGACAGTAATGCATTGGTGTTATCTAAAGCTTGTAATTGTTCGAAAAACCTATACGTCTTGCCATTTGGCCTCCCAGACCGGCCTTCTTTGGTTCTTCTATGATACTTGTAAATATTCTCAAACTTCTCCTTGCATTTCTTGGCACTTCTTTTATACCCAAGCTCATTCAATTTCCTGATAGCAACAGATCGACGGTCTCACTGACTGTTTAAACTTTGAATAAACTAATCAACAATATCCAACATGATTAAATAACTACAAAAAATTAAAACGCACAGTAATTAGAGCCAAAAAGCCATCCTTATTGCATCCTTTTGACACTATACGCTAAAATCAAAGCTAATCAACTTAGACTATTCAAAATGAGCAGGATAAACACAAAGAACAGTAATTTAGCATTTTTGCTCAAATGGGTACCTCATATTTCATTCAAAGATTGATTACTCATTCAAGAATTTGCTAAAAGCAAGCTTTCCTTCAACATTTTCTCAGCAACCAAACAGAAAGTACACATCCAAAATAACAAAGTTCAAAACTTGACTTCATTTTATATCAAGCTTTCTGGAGAAAAAGCTCAAAAACTCACCTTGAAACCTCTTCCCAAAGAGGAGCTTTAAGAACAGAGTCTTTAAATGCAACATCCATATCAGACCTTATCTTCAACAGAGCTAAAGTCTCTTGCCTTGGCCACCTATTACCTGCGGAGTACTGGTCACCCTCCTCAGCTTTCACTCTCATCTCTCCATCACCTTCCTCATTCACCCGGTCACCGGTAGCGGCGTTTGAATTTTCCGGCAAAGTGGTTGAAGTTTCCATGATTTTGAGAAGTGAAAAAGTTACAGCTTTAGAAATGAAAGGTGAATACTTTGTAGGGTTTGGGTTAAATTTTGGTTTTTTTGTGGTTTTTCCTTTTATTTTTTTCTTTTAAAAAAATGGAAATGGGGTTTTAGACTTTTAGTCCTTTTTCAAGTTTTTAGCCTCTCCCTTGCTACAAATCTATAACTACAATTCTACCTGTGGTAGTGGTTAAATATAAAAAGGTAAAATTAGGGTTTGAGGGATAAAGTTGGTGAGGTATGATCAAGCGGTGGGTACAAAAAACATACAAGCCTGATTCCTTTGACATGTCGATTTTGGAATTACTTTTGGGTTAAAGGAGATGGGGTTGGGCGTTGACTTTTGGTCAAAAATAGGAGGCTATCCAAAATATAAAAATCATTTTTTAAAAAAATAAAAGGGTAAAAGTGGAATGAAGATAGACATGTTTGTGGTGGCAAATTGGTGTTCTTGTCTTCATTGCTGAATTTGGTTAAAAGAAGTGGCCTACCTAGCCCACCGTTTGCCCTTTGGGTGTCTCCATTTCACATTGAGATTTGGGTTGCGTAATGTGGCAAATATACCCTCTGTCTGAAAAGTATCTATTGCTCCCACAAACTTAGCTTGAGTGGAAAAAATCTTAATCGCCTAACTAAATAGTTTTGAATTCAAATAGTTTTGAATTCAAATATTTATATGTATAAAAAATTTCTTTGAATGGCTATTCTCATCTTGTGTGTTTCATAAAACTATGAGAAATTAATGTAAATATTGAAAAATTGAAAAAAGAAGAAGGGTCTATTGTTAGTTTTCCCTATATTGGAGTTTATTTATAAAGGTTTAAGAACAATTTGAATTAGGGTTTTCTAAGCAACAATTGATGTTTTTGGATTAACATTGTATAAGGTTTTGTGATTTTTTTTTTCATATTAAAATTAATTTTGTATGTGATAAGATATTAAGCAAGTTATTCGTATCATCTAGTATGTTTATAAAAATTTATATTTTTACTTAAAAAAAAAAATCTTAATGAGTAACATAAAGTAAAAACTCACCTGCCAATAAAATTAAATTTTATGAAAAAATAATTTAAATATGTTGAGAGTAGTGATATGTATTTTGCCCTCCTTGATTACTTCAAGTATTTTTATAATCCAAATCATGCATTTTATCAATTCAATCAATTGCATAGACAAGATAATTTCAATTGTATATTTATAAGAGAATCCTTGAATTGGTTGTGTTGAGATTGATTTAGTTCAAATTATATTTATTACATAATTTAACTTTAAAGAAATAAAAGAGTTTATAGTAATTGTATGTGTTAAGTGTAAAACATTATGTCTGAATGCAATTTTATGTTCTATGTTGCTGACCATTATTCTTTTTATTAAATTGTCCCATTCTAGTACATAGATTGTATCTATCAATAGAAACATGTCAAGAAAGACTAAGAAATTAAACTTATGGAAAAGTTATGTAAAAACAAATTTTAATATATATATATATGATAATAGCTCGTCTCGCTGTGACCATTTAATGAATTCTCAGTATAAATTTCCATTCAATCTAATCCTCTTAATACAAAACTAATAAAAAAAATTTCAATAAAAAATATATTAGAAAATCATAGCTTAATAATAAGACAAGGGAAGTGGGTATGGAATCATAAAGAGGGGTCGAAAATTTTAAAATAAAAGCAATGCTTGTCGGTCTAGATGAGGTTCCATGTCATGTTTTTTCGGATAAGTTGCATGTCACATTGATCTTAAGATTATTAAACAATAAAATTAAACAACTTTGCATAGGAACTTACTTTTACACCAAGAAAGATGAGGGAAATAGAATAGAATTTGCTCATCCTATCTAATCATATAAAGTTGGTGAAAAAAAAAATTATTATCACACAAGAGTGTTGAAATGAGAAATTTTATAATACTCAATGAGTAAGCTAGTGTACAGCGTATAATAATTAACTCATGAGTCCACTTTTAAAGAAAGAGATAGGTAAAAAAAAAAAAAAAAAAATCGCATCCGAACCTATCAAAAATAATAAAAAAGTTTTCACATTGGCTCAATTTTTTTTTTAATTTCTCTTTCCTATTTATATCTGTCTCTCTTTTATATAGTAACTTATATTAATTAATCTTTCAATATTATAAAATTTCTCGTGTTAAAATGGTTTACATAATCCAAATCATGGGTGTCTTTTCCTATATAATTACCAAGCAAGCAACTATATGAAATGGCTCATGAAAGTCCAAAATTTCAACCATAGATTAAGGTGGTGAAATTGTGGTCTTAAAGTACCCATGTAGATTAAACGGACCTTAATTTGTGCCTATGACCATCCATTTTTTTAGACCTTTTGTTCAAAATATCTTCAATTCATGCCAGCTGGAAATTTCCTAATGTCAAAATTGGTGTTTATGAGTAAATGGGAAGCTGTAATTATCATGGCAACCAAGTTTTAACGTTTCAAGTAACTCCCTTCTAGATTAACACGCATGGTCTAGCATTTGATTGTGGTTAACAGCTTGTGATAAAAATATATATAATTACTTACTTCATGTACAAGAAAATTCAAATTATTTTTAATTTCGGTAAGTAGGTTGGTGATAGCCCAAGAATGTGTTTGGTATGGGGTAAAAGGGGAAATTTCTAATCTTTCAAAATTTTAACCCCATATCAAACTTCTTCTTCTTATTTTTATTATTATTACCATTATTATTATTATTATTTTTTGATAACCTGGGTGTCCGGCCAGTTTACGCGCACCACGACTAATCCCCGGACCCACCGAACATCCTGCAAGCCCAATAGACAGGTAAGGCACCGGGGTGACAAGCGTTCGCAGAGAGAGTCGAACCCGAGTGGTCATCAGGCAAGCCCTCAACTGCTAGGCTACGACCACAAGCGCTTATTATTGCCATTATTATTATCACTATTATTGCATCACATGCCAAACTTATCTTGCAAGGAAAATAGAATTTTTTGTTTTGATAATATATCCAAATTAAGTTGCTATTTTCTTTGGATGCTGTGGTTGGTTATTTCAGTGGAAAATTCACAAGAAATTTCGAAGATGTGGAAGAGAATGGGGAACTTAATTATAGGACTAATAGTTGTCATGAAGGCTTTCCAAGGGTCCCTTTCCGTGGCAGCTAAATAAGCTATGAAGGATGCCAGCCAGATGCCTAATTCAAAAGAAGAAATCCAGCTACCTAATTCATACCTGTGGGTCAAGTTGAAATTTCTACCATGGAAAGTGAGAAGCATATATAACTAATATTGACCGCATGGAATGTAACCAGAAGGTGAAAAGCAAACACATGTCTGTGAAGGCTTTGTGGCTGAAAAAGAAAAGGTTGAAAACTTAAAGTGTACGTATTGTAATCCCTAATGATTGAAACAATTGGCCAATTACTTCTGCATTGGCTAGAATGTGAAAACTTTCTGGCTAAAATAGAAAAAGGTTACGCCTGCGTAGTCAACTGGTCATCCTTAGTGATTGAGCCATTTGAATACTTGTGTAGTTTGTTCGTGGGTGGTGGAAATTATTTATTCAAAGTGTTGTATGATGAACTAACGCTGTAGTCTATAGGTCTCAAATAACAGGACACTATCAAAATAAGAAAATTTAATAATAACCGTTGCTAAAACCCAAAAGAACAATCTCTAATAAATATCAGCAATGGTTTAAAATCGTTCACAAAAGCCTTATCGCTAAATCGTTAACGACGGTTTATTGTATATCATTGCTCATTTAGCGATGGATTAGCTATCGCTAAAACATACATTATCCGTCGCTGAACGAGTGAAATAAGGTAATGGATTTAACGACGGTTTTGTTAAATTGTCGCTAAATCCGCGCTAAATATGAACAATTTAGTGATCATTTTTTTTAAAGCTGTCACTAAATTCGTCTTTAATTAGCGACACTTTCAATGACTTTTTTAAAAAACCGTCACTAAATATGAGCAAATGTTGTGTCGTTTTTTAGCGATGGTTGAAAAAACTATCACTACTTGTATTTTTCTTTTTTTATATATATTTTCAGTTATTTATTTCATTGCTAATAAGAAAAATAAAATCCATTTCAATTGAACAACTACAATAACGCTATGAAACAAGTTTATAAATATTATGAAAATTTTATAATATATAAAATTCAATAAAATGAAATATAGATTCAAACACCAAATTATTTTAAAGTTTTCTAATATTTTAGGAAAAAAATAAAAGCAATAAAAAATTATATTTCGATGAAGAGGATACATATTATTACATATCATTATTTTCATCGGACACATATATGTGAAAGTGGGAAGCATAACTATATTAACCACATGGAATGGAATCAAAGGTGAAAAGTAAACACATGTATGTGGAAGCTTTGTGGCTAAAAAGAAAGGTTTAAAACTTAAGTGTATGCATTGTAATCCCTAATGATTGAACCAATTGGCCAATTACTTCCGTATTGGCTAGAATGTGAAAACTTTCTGGCTAAAATAGAAAAAGGCTAAGCTTGTGAAGTCAACTAGTCATCCTTAATGATTGAGCCATTTGGATACTTGTGTATTTTGTCTGTAGGTGGAGGAAATTATTTATTCAAAGTGTTGTATGATGAATTAACGCTATAGTCTATAAATCCCAAATAACAAGACACTACCAAAATAAGGAGATTTAACAATAATCGTTGCTAAAACCCAAAAGAGCCATCGCTAATAAATATTAGCAATAGTTTAAAACCGCCTAAAAAAATCTTGTCATTAAATCTTTAGCGACAATTTATTGTATACCGTCGGTAATTTAGCAACGGATCAACCATTGCTAAACCATCCATTATCATCGCTTAACGATTGAAATAAGGTTATGGATTTAACGATGATTTTGTTAGACCGTCGCTAAATTCGTTGCTAAATATTAACAATTTAGCGATCATTTTTAAAAGCTGTCACTAAATTTGTCTCTAATTAGCGACGCTTTCAATGACTTTTTCAAAAAACCGTCGCTAAATATGAGTAAATGTTACATCATTTTTTAGCGAAGGTTAAAAAAATCATCGCTAATTTTATTTTTCTTTTTTTATATATACTTTCGGTTATTTATTTCATTGTCGATAAGAAAAAAAATCTATTTCAATTTAACAACTCGCAATAACTCTATGAAATTAGTTTACAAATATTACGAAACATTTATAATATATAAAATTCAATAAAATGAAATATAGATTCGGACACCAAATTATTTTAAAGTTTATTAATCTTTCAAAAAAATGAAAACATAAAAGTGATAAAAAAAATTATATTGCGATAAATGGGATACATGCTATGACATATCATCATTTTCATCGAACACATGATGATCAATAGGAGGATCGATGGATAAACTACCTCTTTGCATATTCAACAACATTTGTTGCATCATCGGAGGTCGCTCCCGAGTATACTACTCCAATTGATTTATAGTAGATAAGAACAATGTAATACTACCATTAAGTTTCTCAATCTTTTTTGTTTTTCTAGAAGAATGAGCCTCCATTTCCTTTCGTTGCACCTCAATATCTTTTTTTCTTATTTTTGTTTGTGGTATCATATTGAATCAATCACCAAACCCTATTATCGAGAATCTCGTCAATTCGAGCATCGAATCCGAGTTTAAATCTTGACATAACCGAGTATGTCGAAAAACCTAATTACTAAAATATGATTAATTCAAATTAATATCGGTTCCTATTAGATATGAGACTTGTTAATTTTCATCTACCATTTCTTTATATATTTTTTTATGTTCTTTCCTTTCCTTTTCTTTCTTTTCATGTCTTTTTTTTTTTATCATTTTTATCTTTTTTCTTATCATTATCCTTTCATTTTTCATTTTTTTTCAAAGTTGATGGAGAATCATCATTAGTCCTTAGAAAATAGAAAACTCGACTATTCGTCCATTCATTAATTATCTAATTTAACTAAGGGTTATTCAAGCCATATTTAATATTAAAAAAAATTAAAAATTAAATTAATGAATCCTACACATTTATAGGAGTCTAAATAACCACAAATTTTAAATTTAATTAATACTAAATATTAAACTAGACATGAAATTTAATTACTGAAAGAAATTAAAGGTTAAGCATTAAACTAAATAAATCAAAATAAATAGGCAAAAGTAATTCAAAAATTCTAAAAAAAATAAAATTTGGACTAGAAGTGAAAACATGAAGCATGCTTAAAAATTTTAGATTTAATTAACTTAGTGAAATGGCCAAAAATTAAGCAAAGTGAGAAAAATGGGGTTATTGGACTTTTAGGCTTAGTGGGCTTTCCGTTCAAAGGGCCAAGCCTACCGGTTTCCACCTTCAAGCTTAGGCTACGCTAAACCCAACCCACTCTCCTAGTCTCACACGGCCCAACCCTTCTCCTTTTTATCTTCAACGACCCAACCTTAAAGCATTGAAAATATCAAAATCCTGTAGCCCTTCGTCTTCTTTCTCTCAACTAGCAATCCCTAAGCCTTCACCTTAGGAATGACAATGGGGCAGGGTGGGGGTGGGAAAGACCATCACCATCCTTGCCTCGTTTCCCCTGCGGGGTAATATTTCTCATACCATTCCCACAAGTCATCATTGCTCTGTTTAATTTTTTTGTTTCCGTTTCATCCCACTCTATTCTACTACCAAATTTCAAACTATAGCAAAAAAAAATGATAGTTTATATATAAAATAAACCCTAAAAATCCGTAGTCATAAATTTTATATATGGTATAATTATAATTTCAATAATGGAGAGAGGTAAATGGGGCGGGATAGGCAAATACCATCCTTGCCCCATCCCCGTTCAAAATTAATATGGGGCGAGGCACCCCACCCCGTTCCTCAATCAACTCGAGGAGTTTGTATAGAAGATAAAGTGATAAACCCTAAGAGTCCTTAGTCATAGATTTGATATAAGGTATAATTATACTTCCGGGGATGGAGCGAGGCCAATAGAGTGGGACGAGTAAATTCCATCCCCGCCCCATCCCCGTTCAAAATTAATATAGGGCGAGGCGCGCCACCCCGTTCCCCGGTTAACTTGGGGAATCCCCGCGTTGACCGGGGTGAGGGGTCGTGGATCCGTCGGGCCGAGGCAAATTACCATCCCTATTTCATCTCATCCTCAATCTCTTTTCTTCCCTTTTGAACCAAAATCCTAAATGTCTTCTTCCTTAACCCATCATCCTTTCACTCTCATATAAATCGAGCCCTCACTTAAACAAAAACTCTCAATCTCCTCTCACCTTTTTAAAACTAGAAACCCTAAATTTCTCCTCTCTTCCTCAACTAGTCCTCCTCCCACATCAAATCCTAGAACCAAACAAGCTACCTTCCTCGTTAAAATCAAGCCATTTTCTTTTTTTACATTACGGATTCAAACACAAAAAGGAAGTTGGACATTAGGGGGTTTGTATGATGAAAACGACGAAATCACTATCATAACTCATTTCTTTTGATCAATTGACACTAATTAAAGCTAACAATCAATGAAGGAAGCAATGATTCTTACTTGGATCTTTGGTTGATGGAACTTGGCTTACGAGGAGCGACCGACAGTGGATGATACCTAGTTCGAAAAGTGAGAATGTGTTCTTCCAAAAGCATAAAAACAACTAGAAGCTTATTTGCCACACTTAAACCCTAAAATCTCCTTCTTTTAAAAGTCCAAGTAAGAGCACTCGAGTCTTCTCTCTAAACCACTCTTAAAATTCCATCTACCTCTTTACCCAAAAGTGAAGAAGGTTTTAAACTCCTTTTTCACCAAGAATCAATAATAAAAACCCTAGCCTTTCTTTCTAAAATTCCTCTCTCTGCCTTATTGCCTTCAATTTCTCTCTAAAATTTCCCACCATTGCCTCTTTCTAAAACCCTAATTCAAGCCCTATTTATGCCCAAAGCCCATTTTACTCACTCTTTTAATCAATTCCCTTAAACCCAAATCCCTCCATCCTATAACGCACAACTCATCCAAGCTTATTGTCGGTTTTGGCTCTACATGAATAGAGCCAAAACATGTGGTTTATGTGTGTGTGCGGGTGTTACGAGTGTAGGCTGGTTGGTTTGTCCCTTTGGCTTATTATCTTCGAGTGATGAAGATGAACGAGTCTCAGTAGGATGGTATAATATAAGATAAACATGCCATGGGAAAACTAGGGGGACTCGGATGATAGGTTGTTCTAGTAATTCTGAATTGGTCATGTCGCTCATGTCTTATGTCAATTTAGATCTCATTAGGTTTAATTTTTTATCGATTATACCATTTAAACGTGTCATTGTAATCCCTATACTTTTATTTTTTTTAATTGGGTCCCCGTATCATTCAATTTCAATTCTAGTATTCCGAATCGTTTCAATTATATTCTTAATTGCCTCTAACCGCATTTAACTTTCATTCAATTACATACTTGGACTAAAAATAAAAAATACAACTAAAATCAAAGGATAAAGGAAATAAAGAAATAAATAAAAAGTAAAATAAAATGGGATAAATAAAAAAGATAAGATAAGACAAATTAAAATGATGAAAATAAACATTGAAAAATCGCTTAAACAAAGAAAATTGATTTTTTTTTCTTTTTCTTCTTTTTTTTTTTATGAAATAAAAATGTAAATTTCTAAGATTAAACTTATAAACTAAAATAGAATATAAAAATAGCAGAAAAAATACTAAAAATAAATATAACATAAATTTTTTATTATGACAAATATTTTGCTTAAATAACGTTCAAATAACCGATTTTGAATGAAATTATTTTATTATTTTTTTCCAATCCATAATTTTTTTGGACTATCTAGTGACTCAATTGAAATTAAATCTTCTTTAAATATATTTTAGGGTTAATACCCTCACATGTTCTTATAAAATAATCTAATTTTTCAATCTTTCATTAAAAGAAAAACCTTCAATCTGTCTTTAACAAATTTCCAATCGAATTAAACATATAATTTGAACATAGTACGTAATTTGATAAATTTATCTTTGTTATTTGACACAATCGATCTATACGTATTAATATAAAGATTAATTTCTAAAAATTATCCGAAAAATTTTATTAGAATGATAGATTAGAAATCATCTCAAATAATAAGAACAAATTGTAGGCGTCTTTTTTTATGAACAAATTAGAAAATTAACCTATTTTATAAGGACATGTGAATGTATTAACCCTAATTTTTTTTTAACTAAAACATTATTCATCATCTTTAATATTATTTTTTCATGATAAATCAAATATTTTACTATTAACTAATAAATCAAATAGCAAAATCTTTTTCCAATCAAAACTTTAATATTTTCAGCATTATTCCTTAAATATATTTCTATAAGAAACAAAAACTTCAATTCTTTTTCTTGGTCTTTTTAAATGGGCTTATAGATTACGTGGGCCTTCCATATAGTCCAACCAAATTTAATCTTCAATATAGCCCACCAAAAAGAGGAAAGAACAAAAATTTATAAACAACAAATAGATTTCCAGGGCACCATATTGAACCAGAGAGAGAAAGAGATGGGAGTTACAAAGGAACAAGTTGAATCTACTCTCAAGTCAAAGTTGAATCCTTCACATCTTGTAAGCTCCGGTTTATTTCTTCAATTTTTGATCCTTATCTTTGAATATTTTTTGTGTTTGTGCTTCTGTTTGTGTAATTATGCTAAAAGATACTAGCTTCCAGTTAAATTAGCAATTTTGAGAACTGGGATCTTGTTTATACTTTGCTATTGATCAGTTTTTATTTTGGATTTCAATAGTGTTTGTTTTTGGATTTTAGAAAATGGGTCTTCTTTGTTTATAGAAATCATTAATTAGTTGAGGAGAAAACATTATTCTTAAAAGACTTAACTTTGTTGGTCCTTTCAGGCTTTTGCTTTGTTTTATTTGACGATAAGAGTTTTTATAGCAGCTCCCTAGTCTTAAATGTCTTATAGATTCTTTGAGACCTGTGTAGCTTAATAGTTAAGCTATGAAGTTTTCATTGCACGGCGTTAAAGTCTGTTTCGTTTATGCTCTTTCTACTGTTATGGAATAGGGTTATATCTTCACGGTTGCAAAACTAGAATTTAAAAATAACTTCCAAATTTTGTTTGCGTCTTATTTGGTTTATATTTTCATGTTGATGTTCAATGTAGGAAAAAGTTTGAGGCACTTCTTGTGAGGTGAAAGGGTAGGTTGGTGATTGGAAGTTTAAGGGCCAAATTGAAACTGGCTTCACCTTGCATTAATGATCTGTGATTAGCCTTTAGGGATTTTTTCGTAATGAAACTGTATGAAAGGAGGAAGGTGGTTTGAATAGTTTACAGTGATTTCTGTCTTGGTGGAGTGACAATACTGCTCTTAAGATTAGCTATAAAACTAAGGAGGATGCACATCGTGCTTAAATTATGACTTGTGAGATTGTCGTTCTTCTTGGTTCGTGTAAGTGACAACTCCTGAATTAACCAGTTTAAGCTAGTGTATTCCTATGTTATATAAGAACCGAGGTGCAGTGTTGGGGTGACAATGTGAAATTTATGGAACAGTATTTATACAGAATATTTATAATTGATGCTGTTCAAGACATAGTGAAATGAACTGGCATATAAGGTTCTGGTGAGATAGGGTGGAAACGGGATAAACCTTGTGTTGGGACTGTTAAAGATTACAATGTTTCTTATCAGCTTAGAGTTTTGATGACTATGATCCCCATAGTGTAGTTGACTAGTTGTAGAACATCTTGTTAAGAATGTTCCAGGACCGTTTGTCGCAACCCTTGTTAAGGGTGAAAAAGCTCCATCACACATGCTTATATACGTAGTTTATTTATCCGTGCAAGTGTTTGTGCATGCTAGTAGATAAATTTGAACATATCAGTGTTACGTTTCTTCTTTCTTTTGTAAACTAATTCTTTTTTTTTTTTTTTTTGGTTTGATTTCAGGAAGTAGTTGATACATCTGGAGGGTGAGTGCCTTCTCCAAATAGATTTATCTGAAAATGGAACTTTACATATTGATTGTTATTGCTCTTTCTTTTGTTGTGATAAAACTTTATTGGTTGTTAGGTGCGGCGCAAGCTTTGCCATTGAGATTGTCTCAGAGCAATTTGAGGGGAAGAGGCTGCTGGAGAGGCATCGACTTGTCAATGCTGCTCTGGAAGAGGAGATGAAAGAGATTCATGCCCTCTCAATAAAGAAATCTGTGACCCCAGCACAGTGGAAGCAACAGCTAGAGTCTCAGCAATCTACATCTGCTGCATAAAAACATGCTTTCGAAATGCTTATTCAAACTCATGTTTATTTGGTAGCCGATGAGCATGATGTGGGAAAAATACTGCAATTATTGACTCAAGGACAAAAATGTTTTTTACTGAAAGTATGATATAAGGGTCTTACGCTTACCTCTTGTTCTTGTTTATTTAATATGATATAATATTAGGGTTAACTTCTGATTTTGTCTTGGATGGCATTGGTATTTATGTTGCAACAGTCTAAATTTATGTTTGATTGTTGCCTTCTGGATGTTGACGAAAGACAGCTTCAAAAAACAACGAAGGTACTGTTTAGTAATCAAGAATAAAATGATGGGAATGAGAATGAAAGTTTTATTTTCACATTATAGCTGTTTGGTTAAAAGGAATGAAGTGGGAATAAAAATAAAAATTTATGCACAACTTTATTCTTATATAAAATGTGAGAATAAAATAAGAAATGGTAATAATTTTTTTTTTAAATAATAATATATTTTAATTATTTATTGTATATTAATTACTTTTACAATCATCATTATCATCATAATTATCACAACCATCACTATCATCAGCATCCTCACCGCAACCACAAATATAACCACCGCTATCGTAACCACTACCATTGCAGCTTGCCGTTGCTAGTATTACCGTTGTTACAACCACAATTATCATCTTTATTATTTTTACAATAATTATAGTTGTATAAAATTATATTTTTAATCATTATTTTTATTTATATAAAAAAATCAGATATTAAAAAATTTAAATTATATTTTGATTTTTTGTTAATATTTTAAACACAGTATGAAAATATAAATATCATTTTAAGTTCTTAATTTTCATTTCGATTTCTCATTTCTATTTCGAATCTTTCATTTTTATAAGCAAACAACACCTGAGTGGATAGGTATTTGGTCACTGGATTGACAGCTATCTTGCGCTCCATTTTTGGTGATTATTATAAGGACTTGAGTCATTGGTGATTTTACTATGTTGTTTCGAAAAAGCAAGTAGAGCGATTTTGTTTACGTTACTCATTGACAGAAAATAGATAGATTAAATTTGGCCAAAATCATGGAAGAAAAACCCTTTTTTTTAAAGCTACATGCGTTATTGACAAAACCTGGCAAGTGTGAAGTTCTTAAATGGAACCAAAAATGTTGTTCTTATTGTTATTATTATTATATTTTTAAAGACTAGGAAGGTGGAGTTAATCTTAATATCCACAAGCCTGTTTAATTATGCAATTCTGGCCAAACAAATCACTTCATTGTGGTCAGTACTTAGTCTGTCTCTCTCCCTTAAAGAGGATTCTCAGCCACAGGTATCCATAGACCTATCTTATCCAATGATGGACTCAAAACAGTAGGGAAAGTACGGTCTACATGTTTTTGCCAGCAGAAAATTCAATCTTATTAATCTATCAGCGATCTCTGCTCTTCCGTAATTTAATAATGATTTTATAGAACTATTTTCTAAGTACACAAGAAGCAATAAAAAATTAAAATACACACATAAACCAACAAACGAGAAGTCAAACAATGCAAACTCCATTAGAAAAGAAGATACAGCAAATCCCAGTTTCTTGGTCATCATTTTTGGTTCTATCTTTCAGGCTTAAACAAGAAAGAAGTAACATTTATCATGTTTCTGAAACTGGATTCAATGGCTACTAACCTTGTCTGTCCAGCTTCTCAAACGGTGCATCCAATACCAAGGATGGGAAAGATGCTTACAACTCATAGCAGGTCAGTCCCTGCTATTCATCCATGGATCAAGAAGACAAGGTTTGGTGGTGGGGTTAGGCCAATTCGCACCACCAAAGTTGCAGAACAAAGCCCTGGCTTAGTTGATGAGAACAAGGAGGTCAAAGAAAATGACAAAGATAACAGGATGGTAGAACAGATTAAAGCAGACCTTTACCAGGCAGTCCGAGGTATGTCTGTTCGAACCCCTTGAATTTTCAGCCTCATGTGCCTAATCTTCTGTCAATAATACACTTAAAAACGAGCTTGTTGAGCATTTTGGAATGAATACTGAAATGGGGTGGCATTAAAATGTGATCAAAGGAATAAATAGAGGGATATTTGGAGTCCCATCTGCAAAGAAATCTGAGATTCATGGTTTGGTGGAGCTGTTAGAGTCTCAAAATCCAACACTACATCCTGCTCTAAATCTTGAGAAGGTAAATCAATTAGCTTAAATGTAATCTGTGAAAGTGGATGAAACTTGGTATAACAGCTTTGTTTCTATAATTGGAAAGGTCGGCGGTTGCTGGAGGCTTGTGTACAGTACAATTACTATTTTGGGTTCAAAGAGAACAAAGCTAGGATTGAGAGATTTTATCACCTTGGGAGATTTTTTCCAGAACATTGATGTTGCTAAGGTATCAGATTCCTCTTGCTTATAGTAAGATTGATGAGTTCTGTTCTTTTCAGCAAATACATAGTTTGTAGAAACCAATTTTGTAGAAACCAATTTATCTGCCACATTTTTTTCTTGGTCTTTGACTAAGTTTCCTCATTTTCTGATGCAAAAATGGAGGGCAAAGCAGTTAATGTGATCAAGTTCAATGTCAGAGGATTGAATTTGTTGAATGGACAGCTGACAATTGAGGCCTCCTTCAAGACTGCATCCAAATCAGTTAATTATCCTGCTTTTGCGTTGATTCTGAGTAGCATAATTCATTGAAATTGCAAGTGATGACAGTACCAATTTTCATCCAATTTTTTCAGAGAGTTGACATAAGCTATGACAGCTCTACTATAATCCCAGATCAGGTAAAGCTAATTCTATTGAACGATAAGAGACATGCTGCATTTGCTAACATTTCGAAACTGCGGTCTGCGATTGTAGTTTTGCAACTGCAGCCTATAGTTTTCTTGCAGAACATTTTATTTATAGCTGCAACACAAATTAACCCTGAATAACTTATTAAAGGAAGTTACATTGCTTCTTTCACTAACTTCATAGTATCTTTGTTTTGTTGTCTGGGAAAACAATGACAGTTGATGAACATTTTTCGAAAAAACTACGATCTTCTCCTCAGCATCTTCAATCCGGAAGGTTGGCTAGAGATAACGTATCCTTTTCGGCATTGTAATTTGTTATTATGAATTTGCTTAGAGAACACTCTTACTTATTGTAGCTTTGTAGTGGTGAAGAATGCATGTGATCCTTGATTTGATCACCACAGATATGTTGATGATAACTTGAGGATAGCGAGAGATGACAGTGGCAATATCTTCATACTAGAGAGATCCAAAGAATCAGAAACTTGAAGATCAATTTGTTGCTATGATCTTCCTGATAGCAAATTCATTATTTTAGTGATACAATCTTCCAGAAATATGCCTGTTTCTTCAATTATTTCAGTAGAAAATTTTGACTCTTTGCGAGCAGAAATCATATAATAGTTACCATTTTGGGAAAGTTTTGTGAATGATGGTTGAAAGATATCAACTCTTTAATTTTAGAAACAAATTAATAAGTTTTTTTGTTTGAAAAACTAAACTATTTAGTTTTTAATCAGTTTTGATCATGTTTAATTTAATATTATTTTATTTAAAAAATGTCATTTTTGTCTCATCAATTCTTTCATATATATTTTTTCTATTTTGTTAAAAAACAAAAAAGATTAAGTTATAAGAAAATTTTAAAAATATAAGATCTAAACAATTAGTTTTTTAAAAAAATAAATAAAGAGGACTAATTAATCCATTTCTCAAAACTAGAGTGACTATTTATAATTTACTCACACTCCAATACATATAGAGCTGTTAACAACTCGGACTTTGATCAGATCATGGTACATCCAAACCCAATTAATTGAATAAAACAAATCGGATCGAATTTTATGATTGAAATTGGGTTTTGAAAATGTAAATTTACATCCTAATGGATACAAATTGGATTTGAAGCTCTAACGAATTTATTACTTGGTTTTTATAAAAAATTTATGCTTATTATATTTAATATATTGATTGAATATAAAATATATTTCAACCACTACATGTATAATAAAATATATTCAGATAATATTTTATTTATCAATTTTGTAAAAAATTCAAAATGTCACACAATTCAAAAGTACAAAATCAAATAATTTTAATAAAAAATTATCTTGAACTAGATAGCAAGTAAGATAAAACTAAAAAAATAATAAATAATTTTTTGCAAAAAAAAAGAAATAAAAGAAATTTTATTAATATAAATGATGCATTTGGATGATTGTTATCTTACCAAAAGCATAACTAACTCTTTATCCAAAATCTTTGAATCCAGTGTCTTCTTAAGTTTTTTAGTTTCTTTCAATATTAGGTAGCAACACCAAAAAAATTTTAATTCTTTTTTCTTAGACCAAAATTTTGAAAGTCTTATAATGTTGGATAGTGATTGCACAAACCTATGCATACAAATTAGTTTTATTTTTATTTTTCAAATTTTTATATATTTTTAAATTTTTAAATAATGCAAATAAACTAAAAAAAATCAATATATTAACATCATTATAGGTATATGACGAATTGATGGTGTTTTTAGTCTATTTAAATTATTTAAATTTTTTTGATTTAAACCAAAAACCAATTTTGATTTTTAAACCAAAAAACCAAATAGTAATTTGGTTCGAATTTGGTTTTTGTTTTTGTAGGTTTTGTTAATCGTAAATCAAATTGAAAAACTAAATGATCACCCTTAGTTTTAACGAAAAAACTAAATTATTTAAAAAAAAATTAAAATATAAATAATTAAGTAATTAGTTTTTAAAATAAAAGCGACTAATTAATTCGTTTTTCATAACAAGAGAGACTAATTTATAATTTACTCATAATTCCCAAGTGTAAAAAGGACACCAGCTTTATTGGAGCCTCTCTTCTAGTAGCTAATAGGTTTAATGATAAAAATTACTCCTAAACTATTAGGTTATGGCAAGTTAAGGCATATACTATCAATTTTAGTAATTTGGACTCCGAACTATTATTTTTGGACAAATGTTATGCTTCTCTCATTATCTATAATGGTCAAAATACTGACCGTTAATTGAAATGAAATATGATTTAATAACAAAATTTATCTCCAAAATATTGGAGTTGTAGCAAAATAAAGTTTACACTATCAATTTGAGCTATTTGAACCTCAAACTATTGATTTATCGACAACTTTTGTCATTTTCTATTATTTCTGATAGTCAAAGCATTGAGCATTAACTGAATTATTTAAAACAATTGTTGTTTTAAGCATTTTAAGTTTTTTTTTTAATTAAAAAAAAAGACTTAATGGATCCATTGCACATCATCAATTATCTGACAATAAAAGTAAGATAAAAAAAATAAAAAAAATCATCAATCTACCTTTAAACTAATTATTATTATTATTTTAATAACTTAGGGTCTAAATAGTTCAAATTGATAATATAGATTTTTATTTTACTACAATTTCAATAGCTTGGGAGTAAATTTTGCTAGTAATAATAATAGATAAGGATAGTTTAAGGATCAAATAACTCAAATTAATAATATAGACTTTATTTTGTCATAATCTGAATAATTTAAAGATAAATTTTATCATTAAATCATATTTTAGTTAACAATTAATGTTTCGATTGTTAGATAAAACAGAGAAAAATAATATTTGTTAAAAAAATGTTTTGATATTCAAATTACCTAAACTGATAACATGACCTTAAATTGTCATAGCATAGTAGTTTGGAAGTAATTTTTCCATAACGGGTAGATTTTATTTACTTAACACGTGCTAGTAGTCACTTGATTATTTCTTTTAACTGTTTTGTAGACGTTGGTAGCGCACCATCAAGAAGGAAGAGGAGCCCCCCAAAAAAAAAAAAAAATCACTTGATTTCTGAATTCTATCCTGCAGTAGCTATCGATGACAAGTGAGTGCGTTTTTCTTTTTTTTTTCAAGCTCAAAAGAGGAGACGATAGAGGGAGAGTGTTTGCTATGTCATGAAGACTTCAAAAACAGACTTTGATCAATTCAAAATTGAACATAGCACACTGCAGTAGTAGTATTTTATGTTATTTCAATTTCGTTGACCAGTCAACATCAGAAAACGTCACGCTATTTTAATTTTGTCTCTTATCATTTTGACCAGTCAACATTAGAAAATGGCAACCACAAAGACCCTGCTGCCAACAATCAACTCTTCGTCGTTTCCTTGTGGTTAATTACAACAAATAAATTATTCCACTAATCCACATTTTCAAGTCCATTTCTTAACCATGAAAGCAATGGAATCTTAAAACTCCAATTCGACCAAACCCTCTCATATTGACCATAACAGTACTAAGATTCTCCGACTAATTCAAACCACCAGTCCCAGCCCTCCTACCAATTCTAACCACCAGTCTTCTCAGCCTCCTACCGATTAAAACCACCAGTCTCTCCGATGAGAAAAGACAACAACGGAATCGGACGACTAATTAGGGATTAGAAGAGCTACTTATAAGATCATCTTAAAAGAGTGGCTTGATGACTTCAGCGATATTAAAATTAGATACTGCTAATTGAGTCTTAAAGGCAGGCATGCCGGCAGATTCTGAAGCAGACATGTCCAAGAAAAACAGCAGCAGTGTAAAACAAACCAACAGGAGATACTCTAGAAAGGATGGAAAGGGTGGTTCAAAGTTCAAACCAAGTATTAAATATGATTTCCATAGGGTTTATGAAAGCAAATTGACACTAACATAAAATTTCTCATACAATAACTATTAACATTAATGTTCTCAGGAGGGAAAAGAAACAAAAAAAAGAACCTTCAAATGTCGGGACGGAAAAAAAAAAAAAGAAAAAAGAAAGAAAGCATCACAATCACTCTCCGACTACAAGCATCCTACTAAAAAAACACAAGGTTGAACCACAGATGATGATGTGAGGAAAGCAAAGAACTTGAATACCAAAGTGTATGCCCACCACATCCAGAGGGAGGACCGTTACAGTTAAGCTTTCTCAAACAGCAGCAATAACAACATTGAATATCACAAGCCTATTTGACGCACCAGAAGTTCAGAATGTTCCTCCCCCTTTCAATGACCCCCACCTCAACAAATTCTCCATATCAACCAGGACTTTGAGTTCACGACACCTTGACACGAAAAAAGCCAACTAAATAGGAAAAAGAACTCACCACCAAAGCACTTGTAGAGCTTAGAAGCACTTCCTGTGGACAATGGATGGGCCAGACTCATCATACTCGCCCTTGGAAATCCACATCTGATACAAACACAAAATAAACATGTCAGCCAATTTCCAAAATCACAACCCACATTATAGAGGATTATTAAGATAAATTGAAGTAAGAAAATTCACCTGCTGGAAGGTGCTGAGGGAAGCGAGGATAGATCCTCCGATCCAGACACTGTACTTTCTCTCAGGTGGTGCAACCACCTTGATCTTCATGCTGCTTGGGGCTAGAGCAGTGATCTCCTTGCTCATACGATCAGCAATACCAGGGAACATAGTGGAACCACCACTGAGTACAATGTTACCGTACAGATCCTTTCTGATATCAACATCACACTTCATGATTGAGTTGTAAGTAGTCTCGTGGATACCAGCAGCTTCCATTCCGATGAGAGATGGCTGGAAGAGGACTTCTGGGCAACGGAATCTCTCAGCTCCAATGGTGATGACCTGTCCGTCAGGAAGCTCATAGTTCTTCTCAACAGAGGAGCTGCTCTTGGCAGTCTCAAGCTCCTGCTCGTAGTCAAGGGCAACGTATGCAAGTTTCTCCTTCATGTCACGGACAATTTCCCGTTCGGCAGTGGTGGTGAACATGTAACCTCTCTCGGTGAGAATCTTCATCAATGCATCAGTGAGATCACGACCAGCAAGATCCAAACGAAGGATGGCATGTGGAAGGGCATAGCCTTCATAGATTGGCACAGTGTGAGACACACCATCACCAGAATCCAGCACAATACCTGTACAAATGAGAAGCCACTCAGTACCAGAATCATTTCCCTAACAACGCAAATGCAAAATACAGATTTCAATAGCAATAGATACGAACCAGTTGTACGACCACTGGCATACAGGGAAAGCACGGCTTGGATGGCAACATACATTGCAGGCACATTGAAGGTCTCAAACATAATTTGAGTCATCTTCTCTCTGTTGGCCTTAGGGTTAAGAGGAGCCTCAGTAAGGAGGACTGGGTGCTCCTCAGGAGCCACACGAAGCTCATTGTAGAAAGTGTGATGCCAAATCTTCTCCATATCATCCCAGTTGCTGACAATACCATGCTCAATAGGGTATTTCAAGGTCAAAATACCTCTTTTAGATTGTGCTTCATCCCCAACATAGGCATCCTTCTGCCCCATTCCAACCATGACACCAGTGTGTCTTGGTCTACCCACAATACTGGGAAACACTGCCCTGGGAGCATCATCACCGGCAAACCCTGCCTGAAAACAATAAGATAACTTATTAACACCAAACAAACTAAAAGTGATAAAATGCATAACTAAATTTTGACAACCACAAAACGTAATCAACCCACCTTCACCATTCCAGTTCCATTGTCACAGACAAGAGGCTGAATATCCTCAGCATCGGCCATTTTCTACAAGTTCTGAATAGAAAGGTAAAGAAATGAGTAAAAGAAACAAACATAAGGCCAAAACATTACGACATAGTTTACAAAGCCATCTGTACAAAGCATAATCAACTACAACATATACAGTTTCTCCCCTATTCACAAAACAAAATCTACAGGCCAATTTATTATTCCAAATCATTAACCATCCGAAGCTCAAATCAAATGCAAACTATAACAAACACTCATCAAATCCAATCAGCGTGATTAGCATTCGCTATCATTTTACTCTCGTTAAATCCATGTCACCAAAATATTAAGAATTTTATGCTTAAAAAAACAACAATTTTCTTTATTATAAACTCCAGCTAAGCTAAATTTCAATCAATCATGACACATCATTTTCAATTTTCACAAGATTCAGATTCTCATTCATCAGTTTCTTCACATTCATACTTGCAGATTACAAGATAATACTCAACAATCAAAATCAAATCTGAACAAAAATGAAGCAAATAGAATAAACAGATCTAAGAATCTCTCACAAAAACAAACAGATCTAGATACAACAAAACCAGATCAAGCTATCAAATCCAACGATCCAAATCAAACCATCAAAAACGTCTAGATCTAACCTTCAACAACCCACGACAATAAAAATAAACTTAGATCGGTAACACAAAACCGGTAAAACGAAGCAAAACTTCACGATTCAGCTTATTCAAAACAGAAAACAACGCAGTTTACCCGATCTACACAATTCAAATCAAATCGAGATACAAAAACAGATCGGTTACTTACCTTAATTGAAATCTGATACGAAGAAGAGATAGATAACGAAACAGACCAAGCCAAATCTAGCAAAAGATGTGGCCCGGCTGGTTAGCCTGTGTTACGCTTGCTCGAACGAGAGAGAGAGAGAGAGAGAGAGATTGAAATGGAAGAGAGTAAGGGTTAGCTGACGAGAGGAGAGGAGGATTATATATATAGTGAGAGAAGAGATTTTTGAAATGCAAATGAAATTAAGACCAAATTTTATAGAGAGAGGAATCATTTCCACCACGAGAAAAGATAGGGTGACCTGGCTGACAGCCTTTCTCTCTCTCTCTCTTTTATTTTTTATTTTATTTATTTATTTTTAATGACTTCCGTTCCATGTTCTGGACTTGGTTTTGCTGACTGGGTTTTTTTCCTCTTTTTTTTTTCAGTTTAATTTCAGCCGTCGGATCTTGACTTGGACGGCTTTGGCGGCTGGGGATGTTTGTTTGTTCTGATTTGGTAGGGTCGGGTTGGGTCGGGTCGGTTGTGAATTGAACTGCAATTTTCTACCATGAATATGGTTCGCTGTTTAGTTCAGGTATTAGCAATATTGAGATATAAGCATCTATTGGATTTTATTTTATTTACTCATAAAAATTAAAAATCGTAATGTTAAAAAAATATGTGCAACACCAAAGATTTTTAGCTATAGGAATCAAACATCTAATAGAGATTTAAGATTTGTTTTCTTGAGAAAAAAAATATTATTTTCATAAAGATTTGTTTCTTATATTAATCCAATATTTTGGTAAAATTTGGTCAACGTATAAAAAAATTTGTCAAATTGAAAGTTTTTATCGCTTATAATTCTTTAAAGAAAAAAATATTTTACAAGCCACTATCAAAAAAATGAAAACTAGTATAAGAAAACGTTACAATCACTTTTTGCAACCATTAAGAGCACAAAATCACTATTAGCAGCCCTAATACAGTGCAATAAAGTAGCCACTTCAAAGCCAAAATAATCATCATCCATAAGAGGGGAAAAAATCGACTCAATTACAATTTAAATAAATTCGATGATATTTTTTAGGTTATAAAATTCAAAACTTTTGGATTCACAAAAAAATACATAACATTTTGCATCTTGATATTTAACTTTTTATACACAACAAACATGAAAATCAATAATAATTTAAACATTTTTAATTAATCAGTCTAATACCAAAAAAATAACTTATCTTTCTAAAAAAAAGTATTGCAGGCAGTGAAAAAATCCAAATCAGACGAAAAATTGTTGCTCTTTAGCCTGTTTTAGGCTTTATTGGCTACTGTTGCTCTGAAGAAAAATCCATGCAACCGAATATAACTTGACATCTGTACCAACATTTCATGAGTAAATTACAATTAATCCTTCTTTTTCAAAATGAATTAAGTAATCCCTCTAGTTTTGAAATCTATTTATTAGTCCTTTAAATCTATTTGTAACTTAATTTTTTTTTTTGTTCTTTCTCAATTTATTTTGATTTTTTTATTTTAAAAATACAAAAAATATAAATAATTGATAAAAAAAAAGATATTTTTTAAAATAAAACAATATTAAATTAATTATGATTAATGTTGGTTGAAATATTAATTAACTAATTTTTTAAAACAAGAAATGCTATTTAATTCGTTTTGTTAAACTAGAAAGATTAATTATGATTTATTCATCATTTTCATATGTGTATTGTCTCGTGTAGTTGCAAAAAAAGAAAAAGAAAAAAGAAAGAAAGGTCATGCAACAAGGATTAAATTTAATATTTACAAAGAAAAGAAGCAACTTCTCACATTAAGATTAAAAAAATCTCAACTTTTGTGCAATTATAATTTTTTTTATTGGAAAATCAAACGCTCTTTCGCAAACAATACTAAAAAAGATTCTTTCTTTTTATTTTACTCCGATCTCACGCGAACCAAAAGTGGCCAAAAGATAAACTTAATTTGTGCTTGTCGGACATACATTTCATATTTCCAAATCAATATTCAGGTTTACAATTATATATATATATATATATATATATATATATATGTAATAAATATTTTTAGGTAAGTTTTTGAATCAATGGACACTAAATATATTATTTTTGAATTATATCATTGTTAGTTCCATCTAATTTTTAGTTAATTTAGAATGTTAGATTTTTTTTTAGCTGACCAGCAACTCATATTTAATATCACATCAATCGAAATTATATTCATTATTTTCTGAATTAGATCAACATAAAATCACGTTTAATATTTAATCAATTGTAAAGACTGAACTCTTTAAATTCACTAACATCTCAAATTTTTGAATCCACCAATAACTCATGCAAGAAAGAAGCTTTCAAAAATTAAGAATGGAAATCCTCATATTTTTCTTATCGTTTTACTTACAATATACAGGTAGGTACAAATCAATATTCAGGTTTACAAATTTATGTATATACATCTAGATGCAAAGAATATTTTTAAATCAATTTTTGTATTAAATTGACAATAAATATATTATTTTTTGAGTTATGTCATCTTCAAATCACATTTAACTTTTAGTTAATTTTAAGAGCTAGATTTTTTTTAGTTGACCAACAGCTCATAATTAATATCATATCAATTAAAACTATATTCGTTATTTTTTAAATTAGATCAATGTCAAATCATGTCAATTTAACTTTCGAAAATTCTCTAATAGCCTAACTCTTTGAATCCACCAATAGCTCATGCAAGAAAGAGGCTTTCGAAAATTGAGAATGGAACTCCTCGTATTTTCCTTATCACTTTACTTACAATATATGGTTAGTTACAAAACTATTCTCGCTAGAAAAAGCTTGTCTCTGTAAGGGTGAAGCCATAGATCATACATCTCCTTTGCGCATCTTAATTAGGTGGCACATCAGTGAACGATAGTTAAGGAAAATTCGACCAAAGAATAAAATAAGAAAGGTACAATAACTTAGATCAAAAGGTGCAAAACAGCATTCCCTTTTTCGTAAATTGTAATTATATATAAGATCCCTAAAATTTAACATTTTGGTTATTTCACCCTCATACTTTAATATTGGGCAGGAAGACCCTCACACTTTCAATTCGTGTACCACGCACCGTCCCTCCATACAACTCATATTCATTAGACGCCCACACTTGTCCATGCATGGAACGCGTGAGGGTTTGTCCACCCGAAATCGTAAGGGTTAAAATGATCGATATCTAAAACATGGAGGATGATAAGTGTAATTTACTCCCATTACTAGATGCATTCAAGAATATGCAAGAACGACGGATAAAGTGGATGTTAATGGATCTTAAAAATTTCTCATTTGCCTGTAAACTTGCATGTGCTTACATGTGCTAATGTACAACCATTTCTTCCTAAGATATAAGAATATTACACAAATCAAAGTGTTGATCGATGCATGTTTGCATAATCTAAATCTTCCCTTCTTGGCACACACATTTCCACACCAAGGAAGAAGCACTTTTATCATATATATATATATATATGCAGATCTAAAATTCTCTTTTAAATTGCATTTTAGTTAATTAAGTAGTCTTGTACTCTTAGTGGCATGCCATTACATGTGATAAAGTATCCACTTGTGGATAATGCTGGACATTACAATTCCAATTCAAATCGTTCTCTCTCTCTCCCTTTGTGTTTTTCAATTTTAATGATGCGATAATTTTTTCCCTCGGTAAGTCCAAGGCTCATCAATTCTTCGAGGCTGGACTAGTTAGAATTAAAATTCCACGAGAGATTACAAGAATATATTTGTACATATGGCACAATATTTCGTTGTAGATAACATATTTAAGATTCAATTGAAAAAAAAAATATTCTCGAAACATAAAAATTGATCCAAAAATATTTTTAGCATCAATAACTTTAGACTAGGCAATGAATATTACACTAGCTATGATTCATGATTAACTTTAATTAGATTAGAGAAATAAATTTTATGTTGAGGTATGAAAATTGGTCAAAAAAAATATCACTAGAGTGTAAAGAACAATTATATATTTATCCTCTAACAAGAGTTTGCAATTGTAGTCTGATGTTGCTTTACGATGTTAACATAGAAAAACCAGGAACAAAAGTGAATTCCAAGCAAAGATTCAATTATCACTTTAGGAATGTATGTATGTCTTGTGTAATTCAATGTTATGTCAAAAGGTTTTGGTGTAAAATCAGTTCCTTGCTTTCTACTCACCCTTACCATAAAAAAATATTTTCCACTAACCAAACA